TCGGCGTCCCTTGGCCACACATTCCCAGGTTCGCACCAACATTCAGGGGGTTAGTCATGTGGTTCCCTCGGTGCTCTCTCCGTTGCCATTATATTACTTTAAGTTTGTGCTGTCAGCTCTTCCAAAGCCTCTCTTTAAGAGCAAATGGGATATTCCTTTACTTACACTTTTGCAAAAAGTTGTCTTCCTTGTCGCTAATGCTTCAGCTTGGAAGGTGTCGGTTGGCGGCTTTGTCCTATAAGCTGCCTTACCTGGTTTTACGCAAGGACAAGGTGGTGCTTTGATCTCCCCCCTTTTTTTTTCTCGAAAGGCGGTGCCGGTTTTTCACTTACTTGAGGGCATTGTCTGGGCGAAGATGGGCTTGGCAGCCTCTTCTGCCACTATTTCCCATTGATTTTGACAGGTGATTGTGCAGGAGTGTGCCATTAAAGAGCGGGAACCTCCCTTCCCTGTCCAGCGCTTTCCTCCTGGGTGGTTAGCACCACCTGGGCGTTCCAACATTGAGCATCTGTTTCCCTAGTTGCAAGGTGGCGACGGGTTTGCTGTACACACATTTGCTAAGTACTATAGGTTGATGTGTTGGCATCTTCTGATGCTAGTTTGGCCGTAAAGGTTTGCAAGCAGAGGTTATTCGGGCACTCCTTGGGGTGATTCGGAGTGTTGGCATGTTACCCTGGGTTTATTCTCCATTACTTGGTTTACCCACCCCCCTCAGTCTGGCATTGCTTGGGGACATCCCTGTTTGGTTATGAATAAAGAAGAGCAGGCTGTCCATCAGTGAATGTAAGAGAAAAAGGGATTTTTTTTGTTCACCTTAAAATCCCTTTCTCTGAGTTCATTGACTGACTCCGCACTCACCCCTCTATGGAGTTTCTCCTTGCACTGACTGTAGTCTTATGACAGAGAGGGGGATTTATATCCCAGAGAGGACTGCTCATAGGAGGTGTCAAGTTTTTTTTTTTCTGCCTCTTGTCTTACTCCTGTAGGTGGGGCTATAAAACCCTGTTTGGTCATGAATAAAGAAGAGAAGGCTGTGTCCATCAGTAAACTCAGAGAAAGGGATTTTTATGGTGAGTAACGAAAAAATCCAGTTTTTCCTTGCCAAAATGTGTTTATTTTATGAAACTGCTGTAGAGGCAAACTTTTTTTTTTTTTTTTTTTTTTTTTTTTTTTTTTCTTCTTTCATTTTGGATAAATTAAGGGAGGGTTATAAATCCTGTCAGTTTGTTTTTTTTTATGGTTTTTTTTTTTTGCCTTCTGTGTCCTATTGGGGAGATTTACCTTCACGTCCTGTCCTATAGCAAAACAGGTAGTGGGAGAAAATCCCTCTGGTCTCCCCAGGTCATCAGAATTGGTGTTTCCAATGGAAGATTTCCCCGCTATTACTTTTCTTTGGGACAACCCAAAATTTGGTATTTGGTTTTTTTTTTTTTTTTGTTACTTTCAATGATAATGGTAAACAGGGCAAGTAGGGAGGGCGAATTTTCTTCTGACTGGGACACACCGCAATAAAAACCTAATTGGTGTAATACATCTCCACTCTGTCCAAAACTAAAAAAATAAAAGTTTTGCCTTTTTAGTTATACTTTAAAGATGACCTGCACCTTAACTGTCATTTTAACTGCTTGCCCACCGCCCTATAGTAGTACTACTACAGGGCGGCAGGGCTGCGCAAAATCGCGTATATATACGTGATTTGCATTTCCAGTTGGGGGGCATTCACGGGCTGCCCTTGGTGGCTATTGCCCGCTATTGGTGGTTAGGAATGTCAATCACCAGGTCCTGGCCGTCACTCAGTGTAGAGCTGTGAACACAAGTCTCTCCTAGTAAAACAGCACACAGCCCAATAACCCCTTTCTGCCCAGTGTCATCAGTACAGTGTCAGTGCATTTTATTAGCACTGATCACTGTATTAGTGTCACTGGTGATGTCAGTGGCAGTTATTCAGTTCATACCCAGTGTCAGTGCCTGCCACAGTCCTGCTCTAAGTCGCTGATTGCTGCCATTACTAACATAAAAATGTAAACCAATTAATTTACACGTATTGGGATTTTTTTATTAGCAAAGACATGTAGCAGAATACATTTTGGCCTACATTTATGATGAAATTTGATTTTTTTTTTTTTTTTTTTTTTTTTTTTTTGGATATGCTTTATAGCAAAAAGTCAAATATGCTTTTTTGGTTTGTTTTTTCAAAATTGTTGGTCTTTTTTTGTTTATAGTGCAAAAAATAAAAACCGCTGAGGTGATCAAATACCACTGAAAGAAAGCTCAATTGGTGGGATAAAAAGGACATAAAGAGTAACGCAGTGCCGTATCACAAAAAATGGCCTGGAGAGGAAGGGGGGTAAATCCTCTGGAGGGCAAGTGGTTAACTAGTTTGCTTGATTCAAGATGGCCCAAACTAACTGCTTTCTATGCTAACAGGTGTGCCCATTGGGTATGCTACATAAACGTTGTGGCCTCAGCTACAAACAGTATACAGCACTGTTTTCAGTTGCAGGATGGGATCTTCTGTCCCACAAAACAAAATAAGTTGTCCTGAGTGCTGCTCAGCCGTTCATGGACAGGTTTGCATTTTATGACTGCAAAGCTTTCTGTTTGGTTTAGATGGATGATGTCATGATCTCTGACTCTCTGATCTCATTCAGAAAATACAAAGCTGCCTATGAATGGCTAAGCAGCACTCAGCCTTTTTTTTAATTTAATGAAGGGAAGCTCCTATCCCACGTCTGGAACACAGTGCTGTAGATGTCACAGTTGCTGTATTGTCTCCTGTTATATTGTAAAGCTCTGAGCAAACTGTTGGCACTATATAAATCCTGTATAATAATAATAATAATATACTGTATGTAGTTGTGTAGGGAAGGGTTAGAACTCCTGTCCAGTTCTGCCATTGTGGCCATAGGGGAATTTTTCTCCCTTCTTGTTAGGTCACAGAGACAAAAATGAACAAAATCTCCAGAGATGTTACAGGCAGTAATAAAATATAAGAACTAGGGAGCGGTTAGAAATTCTGAAAGATTTTATTGCTCTGCCCCTGTTGGGGAGATCTCTTTACTTCGTTTGTGGTTACCAGGACATGAAGTGAGATGGAATCCCCCAACAAAGACATGATAGGTTGATAAATGTTCTACCCCTTACCCACTGTTACCAGAACCCCAAAAATATACATTTTTGCCGGTGCTGGCTGGACTTGTATTCAAATAAAAGGGTAATTAGGTTTTTTTTCTGTTAAGTAAATGACGTGTTATTTTATACAAATAATTGATCCAAGTGATCTGCACTCATTTTTGCCTTGTCTGAGAGTCACATTTGTGAATATGAAAGTCTTGTGATTTTCATCTGTTAGAGGATGTGTGGAGATAATGACATTAGGAGATGTATGCTAGTTTTCATGCTTTCACATGGTTCTTTCTACCTTCATTTGATTGAATGTCAGCACTCTTTCAGTTGCAGATGACAAGTCCTCATTTATCTCTGGTTTTTGGCCTTATTGGTGACCTCATGTGTCTTGTGTTCACATGTCTCCATTTATAAGTGCCTTTATTCTTTCCTTGCTCATCCCTCCCAATGAGTGTAGAAACAAAATCATCTACACCCATTCACCTCATTGGCTGCCGAAATGTGAATAATAGGCTTTCATTTCTTTGGGGAATCTTTTCCACACTATACACTACAGCTGACCGCACTACCAGTCTTACAGCCAATGTAACTTCTTTTGATCAACTATGGACAAGGTAACTGTTAGTCTGCTTTGGTTGTCAATATGAATGCCATAGATAGTAAATTTGACTGTATACTTCAAAGGGGAGTTAGCTAGAAACCGCAAAAAAAATGATATAGGAAGATTTTTTTTTTTTTTTTTTTTTTTTTTTTTTTTTTATCATTATTATTTTTAAACTTGGGCTAGTTCAAACTATGCTTTTTGTTCTAAATATAAATGCATGTTCGGCAGTCTAAAAGTGTAACTCCTGGATATTGGTCAGTTACGTAGCAGAGGGGGTTGTTAATCAGTTTTAGCTGCTTTTGGTGTTAATGAAATTAACAATAGGTACACTAGATGGGCAACAATGAGATGACCCCCCAAAACAGGAATGGTTTTACAGGTGAAGGCCACTGACATTTTTTTCCCTCATCTTTTCTGACTGTTTTTTCACTAGTTTTGCATTTGACTAGGGTCATTGTCACTACTGGTAGCATGAGGCGATACCTGGACCCTACAGAGGTTGCACAGGCAGTCCAACTCCTCCAGGATGGCACATCAATATGTGCCATTGCCAGAAAGTTTACTGTGTCTCCCAGCACAGTCTCAAGAGCATGGAGGAGATTCCAGAAGACAGGCAGTTACTCTAGGAGAGCTGGACAGGGCCGTAGAAGGTCCATAACCCATCAGCAGGACCGATATCTTCTCCTTTGTGCAAGGAGGAACAGGATGAGAACTGCCAGAGCCCTCCAAAATGACCTCCAGCAGGCCACTAGTGTGAATGTCTGACCAAACAATTAGAAACCGATTTCATGAGGGTGGCCTGAGGGCCCGATGTCCTCTAGTGGGCCCTGTGCTCACTGCCCGGCACCATAGCGCTCGATTGGCATTTGCCATTGAACACCAGAATTGACAGGTCCGTCACAGGCGCCCTGTGCTTTCCACAGATGAGAGCAGGTTCACCCTGAGCACATGTGACAGATGTGAATGGTTCTGGAGAAGCCGTAGAGAATGTTATGCTGCCTGTAACGTGTGTGTGTGTCCGTCCAGTTGCAGAACACTTGTTTTTTTTTTTGTTTTAGTTTTTTTTTTTTTTTTTTCCTTTTCATTAGCGATATAAAGTAACAGAAACGGTTTCAATCTTACTGTACTGTTTAGCAAGCTTAACAAAGTTTTGTGATATTCTCGAAACTACTTTCCACTGCCGGTCTTTGGATTTTCTTATATAATATAAATAATACACTTATCCCTACTGTGTGCACAATTTCTATATGTCTATACATTTTATTTTTAGCTGGGCAAAACTGGAACAGACGTTAAAGATGGGCAGCATCACTACGAGGGATCTGTGGTCATTCTAGATGCAGGCGCTCAGTATGGAAAAGTTATCGACCGGCGCATTCGAGAATTCTTTGTGCAATCTGAAATCTATCCATTGGAAACACCAGCATTTGCAATAAGGGAACAAGGGTTCCGGTAAGAGTTCACCTTTTTCTCTGCCTCTTTGCCTTGTACTGATGTTTTGGATTCTTCCTATTAAATTGGATCTGTTCCCATGTCCTTGAATGAGTGTTTGTATTAATATTTCTGGTGGGAAGTGTTTTGTTTTGTTTGTTTTTTTCCTATGGATAGTTTTTATTCTAGGTGATTATTTTAGTCTTGAACATAAACCAGTAGGTGTGTTGTTCAGTATACTGCTGTCAACGCTACTAACATGGAATGTCAGTAGTTTTCTTTATAAGTTCTAGTCACTGAACACTTTTTGTATCCATTTCAAAGTAAATCTGACCAACCATTTTTGAGAGGCTGTGTTTATAGTGGATGGTGAATAATTGTTTTTATTCTCTCCTTAAAGCTTCCCTGCTTGCTCCTTTTCCCCCTCATAATTACATTTTTAAATACATTATTTTCATTACATTCCTTATTTGAAACCTAGTGATGTCAGCACTGGGTCTCTGTGCTTCTCTATGGTGCAGGCAGATGATGGCTGGAGGAAGGGCCTGGCTGGGTGTCATGCGTAGCTTCCTGAAAACATCACAGTTCCCTGTCTCAGTACTACTCATCATTGCCCTCTGCAACGATGCAAGCAATGGGATGGCTTTTGGAAGGAGTTACGCAAATATCCAAATACATGGATGGATGTCAGCCTGGACAATTGGGCATATCTAGGCAGCCTGTATATGCATTCAAATTGCCCTGGGTAACACTCAAGTGTGATGCTGAGCTTCTATGATTGAAAAAATGGCATCCCAGTAAATGAAAGGGGTGGGACAGGCACAGTGGGCTGAACGAAAAAAAACAAACACATTGCTCCATCCCACACACAAGGCTGTGGATGGAAAAATCCCCCTGAAAGGTCATTGTATTCTGATAGCAGGGCCCTTCTCTGTCAGAATACACCGATTAGTGGCTACACAAATTGGCTGCAAGCCGCTAGTCGACAAACCGTTTCCTCTATACCCGTTTGACAGTAGTTGGATCTAGCTATTGACTTCTGTTGAACAGGGATGGCCATGAGTGGATTGAAATTCGGCTGGATAAATGCTGAATGTTCTCCAGCCAAGAAATGAAGCAGGTTCTGACTTGCTGCAGATTCTAATCGGAGTAAGAATTTTCAGCATAGTAGAGGAGCCTGTACAAGTGTGCAAGAATGAAGGTAAGGCTGGAGTTCTGTTTTAAATGGTTTTTGAGTAGAAGACTATATTCAGTGTTGAAAATGTTAAACCTGTCATTTTACTTGCTATTTTGCAGTGCTATAATAATATCTGGAGGGCCAAATTCTGTATATGCTGAGGATGCACCTTGGTTTGATTCTGCCATATTCACAATTGGAAAGCCAGTGCTTGGAATCTGCTATGGCATGCAGGTATGCAATCAGTACAAAACCAGAATACCTCTGTAGGAAATAAAATAGTTGTAATGTTACATGCCCACCTCCTTTGGTTATCCTCCTTATAGTTAAATGTCATTTCTTTGGCTGTTAGGTAATGTTCTAACTGGTTGACACTTTCTCTTTCTACAACTTGTAAAAACCCTTTTGTCACAGACTCACAATAGAGAAAGACTCATCACGTTCTATTGCTGCTCCGTTCATGCTGCTCAGCAGGAAATTTGATTTGCACACAGCAATACAGAAGTATTAATTAATGTGAGCTATCTAGGGCATTCATATAAGAGGGAAGAAAGATAAAAATGTTTGTAGAAAAAGAGATCTCTGGGGTCTGTTGTGCAAATACAATGATTTTCATTAAAAAGGGAGTTGAAGCTTTTATGCACAGCAGAATGCACAGTGTGGTTACTCACAGGTACCAATAATACCTTATGGGAAATTCTCTATAGAGGACAGTGAGCACTGTTCAGAATTATTTCTAATCTGCACATATGTAGCAGCTAAACATATTTCAAACATTGTATACCAGTGATTTCTTAAAATCATACTGCATTATTTGCTTAATGTTCTGCTCCACCCAAAACTAGTATTTTTGTTTAAGTTTCTTTTAGCCCTCTTAGGCTGCTATTGCTGACTCCTTTAAAATTGCTTGGTGACCCTCCTGCTTTTGTACAGGTGTGTCCAGCCTGTGGCCCGGAAGAATTCAGTATGCGACCCGGGCAGTAAATGTCCTTTGCCACCATTGTTTGTGCTGCCTGGAGATGGCTGGGTGGATTTTTTGTTATTATTGCTTCCTGCCACTGACAGTTCTAGTGGTTGGTGCCCCAGCGACCTTAGCAACCAACCACATACTTGCTCCGCCCCAGAGTCAGAGGAGTAAGAAGACGGAACCAGAGTTTGCAGTAGGGACCTGTTGCTGTCAGGCTGTGAGTGAGGGAGCCGGGCAGAGATGGACAGATGGTGCTAAAGCCTGAAGGACATATGACCGGAGGGGGATGGAAGGGGTGGAGGCTGCCCAATCAGAAGAGGTGGTTGGAGGAAGCTCCTGGAGCAGCAGCTGGAGGAGACAGACAGAGCTGGAACTTAGGAAGAGGGGGGTGGGGGACAGTGTGGAGTGGGGAAGAGCGTTGTACTGGGTGGTGTGTGGCAGGGAGTGAGGATATGGGGACAGGTTGTAGTGGCCCCAGTGGTGGACATCCTACTCTCTTCATGTGTGTATGTCCTGAGCTGAGGAATGGAAGCCTGCTATGTTGGGATTTGCATTGCCTTAGAGAGAGATTCTCTCTCCTCTCTTTTCCTCTCTCCCCTCTCTCTCTTTTCCTCTCCCCCCTCTCTCTTATCCTCTCTCCCTCCTCTCTCCCCCCTCTCTCTTTTCCTCTCTCTCCCCTCTCTCTCTTTTCTCTCTCTCTCCCCTCTCTCTTTCCCCTCTCTCTCTTTTCCCTCTCTCTCTCCCCCCCCCTCTCTCTTTTCCTCTCTCCCCCCCCCTCTCTCTTTTCCTCTCTCTCCCCCCTCTCCTCTTTCCTCTCTCTCCCCCTCTCTTTTTCCTCATCTCTCCCCCCTCTCTCTTTTCCTCTCTCTCCCCCCCCTCTCTTTTCCTCTCTCTCCCCCCTCTCTTTTCCTCTCTCTCTCCCCCCTCTCTTTCCTCCTCTCTCTCCCCCCTCTTCTTTCCTCTCTCTCTCTCCCCCCTCTCTTTTCCCCTCTCTCTCTCCCCCCCCTCTCTTTTCCTCTCTCTCTCCCCCCTCTCTTTTCCTCTCTCTCTCCCCCCTCTCTTTTCCTCTCTCTCTCCCCCTCTCTTTCCTCTCTCTCTCTCCCCCCCTCTCTTTTCTCTCTCTCTCTCCCCCCTCTCTTTTCCTCTCTCTCTCCCCCCTCTCTTTTCCTCTCTCTCTCCCCCCTCTCTTTTCCTCTCTCTCTCCCCCCTCTCTTTTCCTCTCTCTCTCCCCCCTCTCTTTTCCTCTCTCTCCCCCTCTCTTTTCCTCTCTCTCCCCCCTCTCTTTTCCTCTCTCTCCCCCCCTCTCTTTTCCTCTCTCTCCCCCCCTCTCTTTTCCTCTCTCTCCCCCCCTCTTTTTTCCTCTCTCTCCCCCCTCTCTCTCTTCCCCCATCTCTCCCCCCTCTCTCTCTCTTCCCCCATCTCTCTCCCCCCTCTCTCTCTCTTCCCCCATCTCTCCCCCCTCTCTCTCTCTTCCCCCTCTCCCCCATCTCTCCCCCCCCTCTCTCTCTTCCCCCATCTCTCCCCCCTCTCTCTCCCCCCTCTCTCTCTCTCTTCCCCTCTCCCCCCTCTCTCTCTCTCTTCCCCTCTCCCCCCCCCCTCTCTCTCTCTCTTCCTCTCTCTCTCCCCCCCTCTCCCTCTCTCTTTTCCCCTCCCTCTCTCTTTTCCCCTCTCTCCCCCCCTCTCCCTCTCTCTTTTCCCCTCCCTCTCTCTTTTCCCCTCTCTCTTTTCCCCCCCCCCCCTCTCTCTTTCCCCCCCCCCCCTCTCTCTTTCTTTTTCCCCTCCCCCTCTTTTCCCCTCCCCCCTCTCTCTTTTCCCCTCCCCCCCCTCTCTCTCTTTTCCCCCTCCCCCCTCTCTCTCTTTCCCCTCCCCTCCTCTCTTTTCCCCTCTCTCTCTTTTCCCCTCCCCTCTCTCTCTTTTCCCCTCCCCCCTCCCCTCTCTTTTCCCCTCCCCCCCCTCTCTCTTTTTCCCCTCCCCCCCTCTCTCTCTTTTCCTCTCCCCCCTCTCTCTCTTTTCCTCTCCCCCCCCTCTACTCCCCTCTCTCTTTTCCCTCTCCCCCCCCTCTCTCTTTTCCTCTCCCCCCCCCCTCTCTCTTTTCCTCTCCCCCCCCTCTCTCTTTTCCTCTCCCCCCCCTCTCTCTTTTCCTCTCCCCCCCCTCTCTCTTTTCCTCTCCCCCCCCTCTCTCTCTTTTCCTCTCCCCCCCCTCTCTCTTTCCTCCTCTCCCCCCCCTCTCTCTTTTCCTCTCCCCCCCCTCTCTCTTTTCCTCTCCCCCCCTCTCTCTTTTTCCTCTCCCCCCCCCTCTCTCTTTTCCTCTCCCCCCCTCTCTCTTTTCCTCTCCCCCCCCTCTCTCTTTTCCTCTCCCCCCCTCTCTCTCTTTTCCTCTCCCCCCCTCTCTCTTTTCCTCTCCCCCCCCTCTCTCTTTTCCTCTCCCCCCCCTCTCTCTTTTCCTCTCTCCCCCCCCTCTCTCTTTTCCTCTCCCCCCCCTCTCTCCTTTTCCCCTCCCCCCTCTCTCTTTTCCCCCCCCCCTCCCTCTCGTTTTTCCCCTCCCCTCTTTTCCCCTCCCCCCTCTCTCTTTTCCCCTCCCCCCCTCTCTCTTTTTCCCCTCCCCCCTCTCTCTTTTCCCCTCCCCCCTCCTCTTTTCCCCTCCCCCCCTCTCTCTTTTCCCCCCCCCCCCCCTCGCTCTTTTTTCCCCTCCCCCCTCGCTCTTTTTCCCCCCCCTCCCCCCCCCTCGCTCTTTTTCCCCTCCCCCCTCGCTCTTTTCCCCTCCCCCCTCGCTCTTTTCCCCTCCCCCCTCGCTCTTTCCCCTCCCCCCTCGCTCTCTCTCTCCCCCCCCTCTCTCTCTCTCCCCCCCTCGCTCTCTCTCCCCCCCTTCGCTCTCCAGATCTCTTTTTCCCCTCTCCTCCCCCTCGCTCTCTCTCTTTTCCCCATCCCCCATCTCTCTCTTTTCCCCTCTATCCCCCCCTCTCTCTTTTCCCCTCCCCCCCCTCTATCTCCCCCCTTTCCCCCCCCCCCTCTTCCCCCCCTCTCTCTCTCTCTCTCTCCTCCCTCTCTCTCTCTCTCTCTCCCCTCTCTTCCCCCTCTCTTCCCCTCTCTCTCCCCCCCTCTCTCCCCCCTCTCTCCCCCCCCTCTCTCCCCCCCCTCTCTCTCCCCCTCTCTCCTCCCCCCCTCTTGGTTGGTTTGGGGCTCCTTGCGGCTAGTGGATCACCCTAGCAGTGCCTTCCCTGTGGGTCCCCTTCCAGAGATGGAGCCTAGGGACCATGTTTCCCCACCTGATACCCCCCCCCCCCCCCCCCCCTTGAGACTGCGCCTCTGTTCCTATTGTGACAGCGGTCGTGCAGTCTTTTGTTTTCTGGAAGGAGGTGGCGTTAGGGCATAAGGCGAGCAAGAAGCCCTCTCTTCTGCTTCATCGGCCTCGTCGAATTCTGAGTCCAGCTCTGCCACTGCAGACACTGTCCTGTCTGCACGTCCTGCTGACGAGATCCCCGACCCTTCCGACAATGAGGATGAGTCCTCTGCTGCTGCCGTTGCGCACAAAAAGGTGCTGGTGGATGCACTTATCTCTGTGAGAGAAAAGATGGAAGATGCTTCTGGGGCGGTCGCGGAGGTCTCTGTCCTCTTTGGCACGCACAAGCTAAAGCATGCTGCAAAGGTGTTCTCTTATCCTCCTTATTTTTGACAAATTTGTTTACAAGGATTGAGAGTGTTCTAAGAGGCCCTTTTGTGGTCCCTAAATGGTTTGCCGTGCGTTTTCCCTTCGATGAATCTCTTCTGAAGAAATGGACTGTGCTGCCTGTCGTGGACCCTCCTATTTCCAGGTTGGATAAAGCAACCATGATACTGGCAGAGAAGTCTCCATCCGGCAGACAGGAAGGCGGAGTTAGTTGCCCGCATGATGTTTACAATGCTGGCTCGGCTCTTCGACCGGCTTTGGCCACTGACCTGGTGTCCCAGACCCTCACCGAATGGGCCAAACTCCTTTTTGCCATGACCTGGGTGGGGGGCAAGTTCCCCCAGCTTATGTGGAATTGGCAGACCAGCTGGTTCAGGGCCTTTTTGTGTGTGATGCATCCCTGGATGTAGCCCCTTTGCTTTCCAAGCTTTCCATTTCAGCTGTGGTGCTTCGGTGTGTATGGTGGCTCAAATGTCGGTCTGCAGACCAGACATCAAGGAAGGCTCTCGCGGATTTGCCCTTCCAGGGTGAACGCCTCTCCAGGGCCACCCTGGATGACATAAAAAAATCTTGCTTTTCTTCCGCAGTCCAAGCGGGGGAAAGAACCACGTCACAAGCACGGTCCCTTCTTTTTATGCACGCAAGGAGCTTTTTCGCCCCCCCAGATCTGCTGATAAGGGTTCCAAGCTGTTCAAGGACCCCTATGGGGGTACCAAGTGACCCTGGACTTCCAAGCCAGTGAAGCAGACGGACAAGTCCTCCCCAGCATGAAGGTCTGCCCAGGGTGGGGGTTTGTCTTCGCTACTTTGCCGCCCTATTGACCAGTGCAGGATTTGCTGAGTCCAGGGGTGATTGTTCTAGTCCCAGATTCAGAATGGTTTCAGGGGTTCTACTCTAACCTGTTTACAGTTCCGAAAAAAGGAGAACGGTTTCACCCGATCCTGGATCTCAAGGCCCTGAACTGCTTTGTTTTGTGCAGAAGTTCAAGATGGAGCCCATTCGGTCTGTGGTGTCCTTCCTTCATCAGGGAAATTTTTTTGTCATCTATCCACATCAAGGATGTCTACCTACACATCCCATCTCTATGGGACACCAACGTTTCCTTCATTTGCAGTGAGAGAAGAGCATTATCAGTTTGTGTCACTGCTCTTTGGTCTCGCCTCCGCTCTTCGGGTTTTCACCAAGGTGCTAGCTCTGGTCCTGGCCTTGCTCAGGCAACAGGGGATTGGTTATCTGGGTGACCTACTGAGCGCGGAGTCTCACTCGACCTTGAGGGACGATGTGGTGATCACAATCAGCACCTTGCAAGAGTTCAGGTGGATCCTGAAAATCCAGAAATCCACTGTGGCCCAAACCAGGAAAGGAAGCTGGAGTATCTGGGTCTGACTCTCAACATGGCGTTGGCCAAGGTATTCATTCCGCTGGCAAAGCTTTAGAAACTTCAGTCGGTGGTTTGCTTGTTGCTGTCTTGCCGGTGGCCCTCCCTTCCCTGTTGCATGCAAGCCTTGGGAATGATGGTCTCTGCCTTCAGTTCAGTACGCTCCTTTCCATACAAGGACACTTCAGAGGGAAATCCTGTCCCAAGTGGAACAAGTCCCCCCGACTCCTTGGACACTCAGGTTTGTCTGGGTCAAAAGACAAGGACGTCTCTGCTTTGGAGGTTTCAGCCTCCTGTCCTTCAGGAGGGGAAATCATTTCTTCCCTTGCATTTGGCAAGCTCGGCCCAGGGTTGATGGACGTCGGAGGTGTCCCAATTTTATCAATGTCTTGGAACCTCAGGCTGGAACATCTTTTGGGGGCTCTGCCTGGAACAGTGGATGGAACATCTTTGTGGGCGCCCGGTCTGGAACTTGTTGGAGAATGCCACGGCAGTGACCTATGTCAACCACCAGGGGGAAACACAGAATGTGGCCGCATCAGTGGCCTCCCGCATTCTCAGGTGGGCAGAGTGTCGTGTATCGGCTCTCTTCCGTGCACATTCTTGCCGTGGAAAATTGGCAGGCGGACTACCTCAGCCGTCAAATGTTGGACCAAGGCGAGTGGTCCCTGCATCCAGACGTGTTTCATCAGGTGTTCCTCCACTGAGGCACTCCAGACATGGATCTCCTGGCATCTCAGTTTAACAGGAAGGTGCCGAGCTTCATGGCCAGGATGAGGGATCCGCTTGCGGGTGCAATGGATGCTTTGGTGGCATCATAAAGCTAGTATTGGCTCCTCTGAGTTTCCGCCCCTCAAGCTTCGATCCCGGCTGCTGCAGTGGATAGAGGCGGAAGGCATTCTGCTCGACTTGGTGGCTCCGGATTGGCCTTGCCACCCTTCGTATTCTGACGTCGCGCAACTGGTTCCTTGGCTTCTACTGCTCAGAGCAGATCTTCTGTCTCAAGGTCCAGTCTTTATCCCTACTTTATGGCCACTCTCTTTAACGGCTTGGCTATTGAAAGCCAGGGTCTGAGAGACAGGGTTTCAATAGCCAGAGTTGGTGATTTCTACCATGCTGAAGGCACGGAAGTCTACTTCTATGAAAATCTACAATCGTACCTGGAAGGCATATTTTTCCTGGTGTGAGGCTGCTTGTGTTCATCCTCGTTTTTGTTTTTTTTTTTTTTTGTTTTTTTTTTTTGATGGCTAGAATTTTGTCTTTTCTGCAACAGGGTGTTGAATAGAAGCTGGCACTAAATACCATTAAGGGCCAGGTCCTCTAGCCTCGCACTCTTTCGTTCAAACAGGCATGTGGCACCTCCTGTGCGCTCCCTGTTACTGCCATGGGATGTGAATCTGGTTCTCGCTGTTTTCCAGAAACCTTCCTTTAAAAATATCAGGGAGATTCCCTTGCTAACTTGTCTCAAAAGGTGGCCTTTTCAGTGGCTATTTCTTCTGCCTGCAGAGTGTTGGAGTTGGTAGCCTTGTCTGCCTTGTCTTGTAGGTCTCCTTATTTGGTGGTGCACAAAGATAAGGTTGTTCTCCGTCCATGTCCTTCATTGTTCCCAAAGGTGGTCTCTGACTTTCATTTAAATGAGGACATTGTTCTACTGTCCTTTATGTCCTCACCCATCGCATCCTAAGGAGTTCGCTCTGCATGCCTTGGATGTGGTTCGAGCAATTTGAGTGTATTTGTCTGTTACAGAGTCCGTTCTGAGGTCGGATTCCCTTTTTGTGATCATGGATGGGCCAAGGAAAGGTGTGGCAGCTTCTTCTGCTACTGTTTCTAGATGGATTCGGCAGACAGTGGGTGTGGTTCAAGCTTGCGTCATTAAGGGTCAGGTTCCTCCCTTTCCCATAACTGCACACTCTACTCAGGTGCTTAGTGCCTCTTGGGCCTTCCGTCATCAGGCGTCTGTGTTTAAAATCTGCAAGGCGGCTGTCTGGTCATCTCTGCACACCTTTACAAAATTTTACAAGGTGGATGTCTTGGCATCTGAAGATGCATGTTTTGGCCACAAAGTATTGCAGGCAGCTGTTTGAGGTTTTTGTTCTCTCTTTGAGGGGGTTGTTTTCTGGTTGGGCTCCTGTGTTTCTGTTGAGCACCTGTTGCCTTGGTTTTTGGCCTTGGTTTTTCCCACCCCTCACTGTTAGGTACTGCTCTGGGACATTCCTGTGGTTGAGAATGGAAGATGCTGTGTCCGACGATGAAAAAAGAGAACAGGATTTTTTTTTTTTTTTTTTTTTTTTTTTTTATGCTCAACTTTGAGCACTTTCTTTGAGTTCATTGACGGACACAACACCCACCCCTCTATGAATTATTTTCTTATTTGCTGACACTGCTTGCTACTAACTGGATTGCCTATGCAGAGAAGGTGGTTTATATCAGCCAGGACTGCCCATAGGCAATGCAGTTTTTTTTTTCTGCCTCGTGTCCTTCTCCTGTAGGTGGCGATATAAACTTATGGTCGAGAATGGAACACGCTGTGTCCATCATTGAACTCTGAGAGAGGGATTTTACGGTGAATAACAAAATAAACAATTTTTTTTTTCTGAGCTCTCTATGTATATGGTACTGATGTGCCATTCCTACAAGCAGGAGAGGATGAAGTATTGATGTTTACTTTTTTAATGTAGGGCTCAGAGCCAAAGGCCTTTTATATTGTACAGTACTTATTTAAACCTAGTAAGAGTGAAAATACATAAAGCTGCCGAGGGATCAGTTGAGTAACACTTCCACTTTAATCTGAAGTAGATTTTACATATGAGCTCTTGCACATTTCATTGTAGAAGGAATTAAATGAAATAAAATTGATAGCGGATTATGCACTGGTAAATTTTAACTATGAAAGTATATTATTGCAGATGATGAACAAAGTTTTCGGTGGAACGGTCCATAAGAAAAATGTGAGAGAAGATGGTGTCTTCAATATCAGCATTGATAATACATGTTCTCTGTTCAGGTAAAAGATTGCCTTTCAGATATATGTTTAGCTGAAAGAACAAGCTATTGGGCATGAAAATGTAATATATCTGTTTGTTAATATATCCAGCACAAATAAGACCTAATTGTATTTGCAGAACATGTCAAAAAAGATCAATTCTAAATATCGTAGAAGCATTGATAGACATAATAAGGCAGTTATACATACAGGCACTATCTAACTGCCCTCAGGTGAAAGGGGGGGGGGGGGGGGGGGGGAAGGAGCTGCACTGATTGGATACGCTTACACTGAAGGAGGGGGTAGATAAAGGAGTTGCAGGGCTGGTCTCTGGTACTGATTTATCCCAGAAAATAGAGGCAATTGGCAAGGCTTAATGTCCTGTCTGATTAATCCCATCACCTGCTGAAGGGTTGACCTGTGCTGTCTGAATGTAGCACTAGCAGGTGATATTCGCTGGATCAGAACATGCTCATATCATGGTATTGATCTCAGTTTTGTTTTATACATTTGGATTTGGCTGTTTGTAATGCAAGTTGCAGATAGAAACACTACTTGGTAGCAGACTTAATGGCAAGAAGAACAGAATCTGTGCTTATAACAATTCCTATTTTAAAACTACTCCATTCTGTGTTTACTCTGCCTATGTGCTTCTAGTCATAGTGGCACAGATGGATTAAATTGTCGGTGCAAAAGTTAGCTATGTTGTCCATATTTGCCGTAATTAGTTAAATGTGCCCTTGTCACACCACAATCTTGGTGTGATGTGCAGTGCAGAAAAATGCACACTGGATGGGGCTGTGTCACCACACTACAGCGCAGCACACTGACCTTCAATGTGTAGACTTGAACTAATAACTTCGAATAAAGTTAAAAAAAAAAAAAAAGTAAGCAGTGTGATGCACTAAAACGAGTGTCACATTGCCTCTTGTTGGAGATCACATTGACAGCTGCCTTCGTGTCCAAATGCTGTGTTTTACCATGCGGGCTAATGTAAACCAAGCTTCAGACAGAATTAGATTTAATGTCTGATTTTACTGTACAATTTATTTAAAACACTATTCTTATGGGCAGCAACTTCACTTTTGTTTCATTCTCATACCAGTCTCTGAGAAAATGACTAGCCTCACCCACTCCCTCTCTCATAACAGAGTTTAGTGTACAGCTTGCTGTAAACTCCATGTCTCCATTCCACTCTGCACTTTGCTGGGCTTAGAATTGTATCTTATCTCTTGCTCTTAACCCAAAAAAAGAAAACCACATAACCCCAGCTGCTGGTGATACAATAACTCGCCGTTGGTTAAAAATGAAAAAATGTTCTAAACACCCAGCCCTTAAAACAAAATACACCACAACTAACTAGTGCAAAATATGTACATAAAAAGTGACCAAAATATATTTATGCAAAATAACCAGCAAAAATATACAGTGAGTCTAATATGAAAATCTGTGATAGGTTGTCCATAAAACATACTGTAGTGATTCCAGTGTAAATACAGTATTTGTGCTAAATTGTCCTCAGCATATTATAAAGTCTATATGCAGCAGTGTTTCCACCTCTGTGTTCACAACTTCCTAGATAGGCGAGAGGCTTACCAGATAATTATGACCCCCTTATGAGTTATAAACTCTTTCCACAACGGAATTGTATATAGCGGAGTATCCAAGGTTCCCCCCCTCTACCAGTCATGGACTGACCAATAGAACTGGATCTGGTTCTTTTCATGGACTTCAGCTCAGTGTAGTACTTACATCAAAACAGAAACAACTTGTCTGATTCCTCCACAACAAAATGGGTTTACTCCTTACCTTATGCCCCAAACAGTGCTTATTGGGTCTATTCCCCGTCTCAGAAATTTTCCAAATTTCAGATTATCTTTTTACATGAAACTCTCTTTATCGCCAGGTTGTTAATTGCCCGGACTTGGCTCTGGGCGCTGCCACCTACTATGCCACACTGGGGGTGGCTGCGATTAAATAGTATATTACCATATAAAAAGGGTATCTACACGCATAGAGGATGTCCCGCTAAAATATTACAAAATTGGGATAAATGACTGACTCCACTTCTACCTGTGATGTGGAAGATGACACGTGATCGTGGTTTGCTCATGTCATGACTCCTTTCGTCACTTGTATTTATCCTTATGGTATTGTAGGGGTTTTGTCACTTTTATTGTCTGCCTGTGGCACGTGTATTGTTTTGATGCATTTACAGAATCTGTCACTATACTAGTCTCGACTTTTGGTTGCTGTATATTGCTGCCTCATTCTTCTCTTCATAAAGAGTGGTAAAACAGAAACCACTTCATAGTGTAGCATGCACCAGACAGCCATATATCACTCACAATTATCTAATGACAAAGCAAACGACCACCACCTCTCTCAGTTCAATGCTATGGGTAGGTAGGAAGCTCACCAAATATCTAGGACACATGAATTTCAACCTATTGAATTAACAGGTACACTTTTTCTAGGATTCTAGTCATTCTGGAGCTTTTTCGACTTGCGCATATCAGCATTTTCAGCTTTATTCTGGGGGGGGGGAAAAAATATAGAAGTCCATTCTGCCTGCCTTCTGCCATTCATTCATCTGCTGCCAGAAGTGAAAAGAAAAAACAAGCCACCTATGGGCAACACATTAGATACCTAGATAACATCTACTTCCTCAGTAGAGAATCTGTGGGTCCCCATTACACGCACACGCACGCGTACGTACACACACACACACACACACGCACACGCACACGCACAACGCACGTACACACACACACACGCACGTACGTACACACGCACACACGTACGTACGTACACACACACGCACGCATGCACGCACGTACGTACGTACGTACACACACACACACGTACGTACACACACACGTACTGCTCGTGGCAATCTTTTTACTGTACTTGTTTTCCTTTTCCAATAAACAAGCTTCAGAAACCTGTATACTTTTAGTAGGTTTTCATGGCTGGACAGCAGCTGAGCATCTGATGGCCTCAAGACTGCTAAGCAGTTTTAAGGGGTACAAGTAGTACAGCCTTCTAAGTCAAGACATTAACCTGGCAAACATTAAAGATCTCTATGATCTTCCCTGCTGTGAAGAAGTGTATGTGTAAAGTGTACAAGAGCCTGAGCTCCTCTTGTTTATGCAAGCTGAATGTTTTTTCCCTTGTATTGGTTTTCCTTCCTTAATGGTTTAATGTTTGCTTTCAGGGGACTGCAAAAAGAGGAGGTTGTACTGTTGACACACGGTGACAGCGTAGACAAGGTAGCTGATGGATTTAAAGTTGTGGCACGATCTGGAAACATAGTTGCAGGTATGCATCTTAAATATCTATTTGCAGTCATATGACTGTCTGGTATCCTTAATATGACCCTGACAGATAACTATATATAGATTGCTTTCTGTCACTTCTCTCCACTCTATAACCCTTCCTCCATCATGTGGGCAGCTTTTCATTCTGTGTTAGATCAGATAATATGTGATATTAAATTTGATACATATGAGTTTTTATTAAAGTTTTGACAGTATCTGAAAATCGAATGTGTATTTATTCTGGACTGAGTGAAAATCTCTGTGGTCAATAAATGAATTAAAATGAAGGATGACAAACAGCCACGATCACAGTTATTGAGGAGTCTTTGAATAGTATTTTCTTTCTTGTCCATTGAAAGACTTAGGAAACAGGCTAAACTGTCGCCTTCAGGAGATTGGGAAACTGGCAAATAGTAAGCCCTCCTCTACCCAGCATGTCTAGGGGTTTGGCTGCCTTTTCCTCAGCTCTGCCTTTTCTTTGGCTGCTAAGAAGATTCCTACTAAAGTGCTGGTGCTTTTAAAGTCAGTGACTTAATAAAGATTCTTATTACTACATTGTTGCATTAAGAGGAATTCCAGGCTCCCCTGGTAGCTGCTGACTTTTAAAGTGGAAGTAAACTCCCACTGGAAACTTGTACCTATAGGTAAGCATATAATAAAGTGGAGCTCCACTTTAGGCTGGTCTCTACATAGAATCTATCTGGTTCTGCTGCTCCTCAGCACTAGCTTTTGGAGGCCATGCCCTGAGCCCACTGGACTGGTCATTGCAAGGTTAGCCTGGAATATGGGACCGTTAGGCACTGGGCTCTAAATTGTGGCACTTGCCAGACTGTACTGTTAGTTAGCTGCAGACTATTTTCCATGTCTAAAGCTTTGAAATAGCTCCAGGTGTTGCCCTGTCTCCGAAGACTCGTTTGGTGTGTAATCCAGTAAGCACCAGGTAAATTTCCCACCGCTGCCTTTTCACAACCGTAATGGATAAAGCTGAGGGGTCAGTCGCTGATGCCATCTGTTGGGTGGTGCTCTGCATGTTCTCCTTACCACCATTCCCGAAGGAACCATCTCCAAGTGGACGCCATCCGGGATCCAAAAACATCTTATGTTTTTCGAGTGTAACCGCTCTTTCATCAGAGCCAAATCTGTATAGCCTAACCCTCACCATGAGGGTTAGGCTATGCACATTAGGTTCTGATGAAGAGGGGTTACACTTGAAAAACGTATGATGTTTTTGGATCCCGGACGGCATTCATTTGGCGTTGGTTCTTTCTGGGTCCCACTATCCACTGGCTTGGTATGCTGTATTATCTTCATTGTTTGTGAGTATGTTTTTTATTTCTAAATAATCAAGTACCCCTGGGATAATGTACAAGGCTGGTGCGCCCTCTGTTGCTTGTCTCTTTACAGTTGTTAGCGACCTTCCCCTGCAGTATCTGGTTCTGAATGTCCCGAGCCTAACCAGACCCTATTTCTTTCTCTGATTCAGATTGGCAAATGTCTACCTGTGGTGAGGCTGTGAGACAGTCTCCTGAAGTGGACCCAGATTTACAAGAATTTGTTTCAAACCTTATAGATGGAGTGTTACTACCCTGCACCCGGGGGATCAGCCTGTTTACTCAAGTCTTGGAAATCTTTTTGCAGCTCCTACAGCTGCAAAAAGATCCACTACATCGACTTGACTCCTTCCATTCTGAGCACTGTAGACACCCTGCAGGTTCCTGGGCTTTGCCTGAAAATGTGTTGGAACTTTTTTTTTTTCTTTGAGAAGTAAATTATTAATCGGTGGTCTTTACGCAATATAGTTCCACTGGTAATTCACCCTAACAGGCAAAGTACCAGGCGGGTGGAGGGTGTGTTCACTTTCTAGAGCTTTCACAAACCGTGCCTCCTAAAATATCAGTTCGAACTAACTGGTGTTGCTCTGTAACCTGTGTTGGCGATAGCTTTAATAATCCAGACCAAGTCAGAATTTGGTTACCCCTCCAGGGATGTAGTCTCTTCAGATCTGCTGTTGACACTTTCATTAGCAACATCATGAGTGGCCGGAACATGCTGCCTAAATGCAGGACATCTGTAAAATGGGTGGAATAGTCCCACCATGTTCTTCCATCTACCGGTCTGTATGCGCATGCATTCTTCCTTTACCCTGCCCCCCTTCCCCCGATTCTTTTTACTACCAGCCTCTAGAGCTGGTTGGCTATCTATAAGGATATCATACTCTGACGTCTTTCAATTTTCATTGACTTCTCACTGTGAGGTTGTTCGCCTGGTTGGCATTTTTTGCTCCTATCATAGATCCTCTTTTCCCTGAATTCCGTGGGTTAAGAAACGCTGACATTTTACAGTGTCGCCACTGACACTGGTATAAACAGCATCTGTTTGTATCAAGACCCGCTCCAGCCGTATTACTCTACCACAAGCGTTCTCAATGTACGTGGTGACATCACGTCCTGGCCCTGCCCTATACGGTTCATCCATCGACGTCCTCAAGGGGCGGTGGACCTTCTCTTGTAGAGTGGTTCATCTTTTCTGTGGACCTTTTTTGGCTGTCCATATTCCGGTATGGGTATTGTCATTTTGAGACTTCTCCCAGTGATTATAATTTTTCTGTTCACATTTTCTGGGTCAAGTTTACTATGTTCAGGTTACTAGTTGTTCCACCTGTTTTGAGGGATTGCTGGTGGGCTTGCGCAGTTTTGCACTGATTTAGGCTCAACGTTCCCCTCGGTAATTTTTTTCTCTGACTTGGTCTGGGGCACCACATGGATCCCAGTTTACTTGTCTTACTAGGCTTCTCCTCCCTGGGTTTAGACTCCTGCATTGGTCCTTCAGGTACCTTGTTTTCCAGATTGCTCCTTGTGTCTTGAATCTGTCACTGGCTGATTTCCCACCCCTCAGTTGGGACTGCTTTTGGACATCCTGAAATTCCTGGATCCTGCAATGGATGAGAAAAGAAAATTGTACTTGCTGTAAAATGTTTTTCTTCGTGTCCTTTGAAGGACATGGTTGCATCTGTGTGCTTTTTGCTCTTGCCCTTGGTACCTCTTTTGCTTAAAACTGAAACATGCTGGGTAGAGGAGGGGCTGGCTTATGTTTTTTGTTTGCCAGCGTCCCAACCTCCTATATACCGTAAATCCAACCTTCTCAATTCCTGTGTCCATTAATGATTCTAAAAAAGATGTTACAGTAAGTACAAACATATTAATGTAATTAGTTTCTAAAATGTGCACAAAATCAAATTTTTTTTCATATTTGATATATCAGATACACATAATTTTTTAGCAGCAATATAGTGTGTCTATCCTACAATCCATTCAATGTTTTTGTTTTTTGTTTTTTTTTATAAATTCTTTTAAGTTTAAAATATACAAGTTGAACAGGCATTTGCAACATATATAACAAGTAGTGGTCATGATACATTGAGTGAAACATATTCATCTCTGTATGATATTGATTTACTAACAAACACCACCTATTATATAAAGGTAGCGCCAGTTTAAGAAGACTAGAGTACCTGAGAATAACTGAAGTGAGAGTGGGTTAGGAGATATCTGACCTGAAATTTAATGTTGCAGCTTCAAGTGTTACTACACAGGGATCAACTTACAATGTGTCAAGAGGTTGTTTAGAGAAAAGGGGGGGGGGGGGGGGGGAGAACAATGGGATAAAAAGGGAAGGTTAGGGATGTGGATGGGGGCCCTACAGTCAAGATAACAGGACAGTTGCCTCCAAACATTAGAGCCTGTCCTTCATTTGCAAATGTAAAAGAATCCAATGGAACCAAGTGGACTTGTATGTCTTGTGTTGGTTTTTTCCTGATAGGATCAGGTCCTTTATTTGCCAGATTTCTTCTATTTTGCGTGTCCATAGTCATGGTGGAGGGGTGGAGCTTTTCCAATGGTTAGAAATACATGATTTGGCAGTGTTTATCAGAGTTGGTAAAATATTTTTTTGATACGTCTTTGTGGGTAAGGTAGAGAGATGCAGGAGAAAAAAGACTAGGTCATAGGGAAGTGGTTAATCTGTGAATTTTTGAGCTAGGTCCCTATGCTGGGTCCAGAAGGGCTGTGTGGTGGAGCAGGACTAAAGGATATGTTACTTAAAATTTTATTTTGTCAGGTAGACCCTCACATCACATAGTTTTCAGTAAAGCTTGTCAGTCTGGTAGATAAATCTGAAACATAATTTGCCTGTGTGGAGCCAGCAATAAACCTACTGCTGAACATAATGGAACGGGGAATAATAAAGTACAGGTTTTAAGGATATGATTATTTGATCAGTAAACTAACCAGTACTCGAGTTCTAATTTCTGTTTGTACTATTCATTTTACAGTGGCAAATATGTAAACGAGCAATAGAAATCTTGTATGTGTTGTAATATAAAATTCTGTGGTTGGTTTTTAAACATGTAATTTATTCTTCAAAGGCATTGCTAATGAGTCCAAAAAACTTTATGGAGTTCAGTTCCATCCTGAGGTTGGTCTCACAGAGAATGGCAAAGTGATGTTGAAAAACTTCTTATATGATGTTGCGGGATGTAGTGGGACCTTTACTGTACAAAACCGAGAGATTGAATGTATACGAGAAATTAAGGAGAAAGTGGGATCATCAAAAGTTCTGGTAAGTATTATGCATGGATGATTGTATGGCACCGATCTGTTGGCCACAGTTCTCAGTGATTGCTTCTATTTATTAGAAAATTCTGTGACCATAAACATGCCTGATGAAGGGGTCATGCATGGCTCTGAAACATCTCAACTTTATGCTGTGATGTGATTTCTTCAATAATACTTCTGGATGCTATTTCAAAGATTCCTGATGTGCTGGTGATATATTATTTAAAGTGTTACTAAACCCAGGACCCTGCAATCACTATATCTGGTCTCCCACAGTACACAGAACTTGGAAATGCAATTATTTTAATAAATATAAACTGCTAAATACCTTTTCTCATCAGCAGTGTAGAGCAGTCTTGTGACTTCTATCAGTGTCCAGCAGAGCACTGGTTAAAGCTTGTAGGAGGAATTTTCACTCTCCCCCATGAGGCTGCAGGACCCCTGACCCTCTGTCTTCACAGTGCTGATTGGTCTTATGCTGATCACATGCACTGTCTAAAAAAAAAAAAAAACTCTAGCAATACTCACCAAACTGAGCATTTGCAGCTTGCCTCCAAGCCTCTGTTCTATCAGGAGATATATTGGGGACAGTAGAAGGGGAGTATCAGAGAAGAGAGGATCAAACATTCTTTTTACACAGGGCAGAGGATTAACCCCTCTGGTTCCACACTGAGTATAACAAGCATGCTTTACTACATATACAGACTGATTTTACTGTTGTGGGTTTAGTAACACTTTAAGTGTGCGAGTCTGCTTGCACCCTGAGTGAATTATACGTTGACTGCATATTCCTGCAGTACCTTTATTGTGGTCAGCAGCTTAGGGGTGGTTTCACATCGCCATGCTGCAGTTTGGCCGCAGCCCAAGAGGTGGTGCAGTGTACCCGTGGTGTTTGTGCAGGTGATCTCCGCTTTACTGAATGCTTTGTTAGATTGCATGTTTTTGGTGGGTTTTCTGAAAGCACACTGAAGATCCAGCATGCAGGACTTTTGGTGTGCTTTTAGAAAGCACACAAAAAAAAACACAATCTAATAGAGCTCGATGGGAAACCGTGGGTAACCCACACAAAACCTCACTGCACTGCACTCAGACTGCAGCCAAACTGCAGACGGGTAGTGTGAAAGAGGCCAAATGCCTATGCACTGCATTAATGTGTGTTAATGAACACTCGTTTTGCATGTTAATGTGCATTGAATTAAATGCTTTCTGCCTACCCACAATACATGTACTGCGGGCAGGCAGCAGAGCCAGGCTGGATCACATACGTGTACGTGATCCATCTTTTTCACTATATTTTAGTGAGCACAAAATTATTTTAATTTACGTTTTCAGTATTAAGTGTCAAGACCTGTAAATTGTCAAATGGAGGCAGTCCATATTATCTACTGGAATGACTCTGACAAATTGCCTAAGGGCTTATTCACACTTGCGGCTGGGGAATGTTAAAAAAAATAGGCTGCTGAGCTGTGGTTTTACTGCCACTCCTTACACAGCAGCTGGAGAGGGCTGTATACATGCGGTGATATTTTGCTCCTCATTAAATTTAAATAAATTCTACCCCATGTCATTTGACAGGCTGTATGGAGTAAATGGGGCCAGTGATGTGGTCTTTTCAGGGTTAAAACAGGTGTTGAGGTGACATATCACCTCCCAGCCGCCTGTTAACCATCCTCTGAAAAGCTATTCACTGAGGATTTGCTTTTACGCGGTGGGGGAGGGGTTCAAGGGATTGTGTCTGGTGTAAATTAGCCGAACAGAGGTAAGATACCTACTGCATAAGTGTGTGTGTGTGTGTGGTTTTGTTTTTGTGGTGGTTTTATTTTTTAACAAGTAGACATAGGCATTGTTTTAGTGAGTTGGCTACTATACAATATAGACTTGCTTTGAGAGTGCCACAACCATTTTGGAGCACTGCAAAAAAAAAAAAAAAAGGTGAACCTGCATATGTAATGAGTAAATGTTAGTGCCCCCTGTATAGCAGTTTTAATTTTATAATTTCAGATATCACATAGAATAAAATTTTCTAAGATATTAACAGACATGGCAGAAATGAACTATAGCAAGCAGATCCTTTTCATGTTTATCTAAAAACAATTGAATATGATACCTTTTTACTACACAAAGTTGAAGCACAAAATAATTTAGGTATTTCATACATGTGAGCTGTCCACAGTTGGGTCTGGATATGTTTTGAGTGTAATTTTCATCTCAAACACTTTTTTTTATTTTTTTTTTTAGTCAAGCTTACTCACATATTTGTTAAACATACAGTATTTTAAGCATTTTTTTGTCACTGATGTGAATAGAATAAATTTGTATATGAAACTCTTATGTGAAATACATTGCATGTTTCTGTGCTCTGCAGGTGCTATTGAGTGGTGGAGTAGATTCTACTGTCTGCACAGCTCTATTAAACAAAGCCTTAAACAAAGACCAAGTGATTGCAGTGCATATAGACAATGGCTTTATGCGAAAACGAGAGAGCCAGTCTGTGGAAGAGGCTCTGAAGAAACTGGGAATTCAAGTCAAAGGTGGGTTTTGCATGCTGTCATTTCCAGTACAGTGCAATGGTCTCTTTGGGAATGCCTTCCACTTCAACAAGTGTAAAAGCACGCAAGTGCCACTGCATGCAGTGCATGTTTTCAGTATTTTTGTGAAAGCAGAATTAACCGTCTATTATAAATTAAAGTGGTATTAAAAATCAACAATGTAATATGCTGCAGGTAACCAATCATATATTGTGGCTGCATTCTTTTTTTTTTTTTTTTTTTTATTGGTCTTTTTTTCCTGTTTTCACCTGGTGATCTAGGCCATGAACGCACATCCTGTATAAGTCTGGCCATACACTATACAATTTTCTTTAGATTTACCTTCAACTATGTAGTGCAAGAGCCTGCCTAATTGGATACAGTTGAAAGTGTTGTTTAGGTTTGACCTATTATATGGTTTTTGGTAAATCTAAAGCAAAAATCTCAGGAAAATTGTATAATGTATGGCCAGCCTTAGTGTTCCTATTCTGGATGAAGGAACAAAGCAAGCACTTTTGGGCAGCTGCATTGCCAGTCTAGTGGGGCGGGAGCATTAGATGCACAAGCAGATTTAAATACTTTTAACAAATCGAAGCCAAACTCCAGCTAATACTTTATAAGCAGTTACAACAACAGTTTTTTGTTCCTTTTGGGATAACAGTTTCACATAAAAGCTGATCATTGTAAGCCCTGCTGCCAGTATAAATGGTTTGCCTTATCCCTATTGCTGCAAGAGAGCTTGTTCTTTTGAAAAACACACTTACTGGATGATTTACTAGATGAAAATGGAAGAAAGAAGGTATAATAAAGAAAACTAATGCAGCCATCACATCTAAGAATTGGTAAGCTGCAGTATGTTTGCTTTTGAGTTTAAATACTGCTTTTAGCACAGTTGTTGCTACATAGGATAGGGGAACTGACAGAACAAAGGCTTGCTGTACCAAAATATTTTTTTTTTTTCATGTTGGCAGTGATGTTCAGTCACCTAAGGTCCTTTTTTTTAATTTAACACTGGAGTTCTGTTTTTAAGCTGACCTCTGTGAAAAATTCAAAAGTACCCTTGCATAGGGGCTACCCTGCACTGTAAGGTTTAAATGCTTGTTTTTGAGTAGGGTACCTTTTTTAGATTCAATTTTTCTTGCCAAATCTCTCACTGCCACAGACTTTCTCCTTTTCATGTGATTGGTCCCCAAAGCCTCTTCTGCACGTAGTCCGCTCATCATACTCTGTCATTCGGTATACTGTAGGACCATTGTAAGTGAGGACGCCAATGGTCCCACCCACAACCCGGAGCGCTGGAGGAAAGTGAGGGGAGAGATAAGTAAAGGGGCAAGGGTAGTTATGGATTTTTCCTGAAGTTCAGCTTTCAGATAGGTGGGACAGGTTGCAAGCACTTTGGTTAAATCTTGACCATCAGGTCTAAGGTTTGGTATATTCTTATGGAGAAACCATCAGAAGAAACAATACTGTGTTTGCCCATTAGTGGATATTCCATGAGTATGTATGCATGATTTGTTGAGTTCACTGACACTAGGAATGGACATGTTGATGGTTATTGAAATTCTCTCCACCAAGGTCCCAAACAGACGTAAGGGCTTGTTCACTTGTGAGCATAGCGATAGTGTGCTGTAACGCACCATGTGCGTGTTGCAGTGTACAGCAGAAAAATAAAGCATACACCTTCATGCACATTTTCATGGGTTGAGCTGATTTACAGTGCGTTGCAGTGCGTGTGAACGAGTACCAAAAAATGGTGTGTTATCAGTGCCCCATAGCACCCTGCATAGTGAAACCTGTTTTTGATAGTATTGTTCTTTGATATAGTAGCATTACATAGCCTGGTGCATTATTAGCTGTTTAGAAATGTTCGTTATTTTGGACTTTGTGTTTTAACAGTTGTCAATGCAGCACATTCTTTTTATAATGGTACAACAACATTGCCAATATCTGATGAGGACAGAACACCACGTAAAAGAATCAGCAAAACCCTTAATATGACAACGAACCCAGAAGAGAAGAGGAAAATCATTGGTGACACCTTTGTGAAGGTATTTTGGTAGTGAGTATTGATAGACTGCACAGGTGCTGAGTGGATGAGCTTTTGGGATGATGCGGTTAGTGTCTGAACTTGTGTTGGATAACGGGAGGTTTGTCTGCAAGTGTTAACTCATTCCATACCGGTTTGCTTGTTCTTTTCCAGATTGCCAATGAGGTTATAGGTGAAATGAATCTTAATCCTGAGGAGGTCTTTCTTGCACAAGGCACATTACGACCGGATCTGATAGAAAGTGCATCTCTTATTGCCAGTGTTAAAGCTGAAGTTATAAAAACGCATCACAATGATACAGAACTTATAAGAAAACTGAGGGAAGAGGTAATTGTTCTTGTTTTGAAAAGCATCTCATTCAGCTTGTAGAAGGAATATGCATTTTTTGCTGGTTTACTTGTTTGGATAAAAAAAACATTACATATGGCGTGTATAAGAAGAAATTTGTTATCACATGTTTTTACTTTGATAGACGTGTTGAAACTACTGCCATGTGGATAGCAATTCTGCACAGACAAACTGGCTAGCTGTAATAACACTAGAAAAGCTACAATTTCTGGGGAAATTGTGTGAAGTGTTCTTGCCTCCACCAGTAGTCTACAACTGGAGTGGGCGGAGTAACTGGGTGGAGTGGCTTGAGTAACTGTTGTGTGGTTGGAGTGGCTGGAGTAACTGAAAAGGTTGGACTGGGCAGAGTAACTGTGTGGAGTGTTTGGAGTGAGTAAAGATAGTAAACATTACACTAACCAATTGATTGATCAAATGTAAAAAGTGCACATGGCAAGCTTGATTGTCAGGGTTCCAGGTATGACCAGAGGTGTGTGGACTGACACAGGGAAACGCAGGCTTCAGATATGGTATAAACAATATAATTTATTAAGACTAACAATACAAAACGCAGTGCAAAACTAAACAACACAAAACAAACCAAACCACCCACCGATAACAATACATACAATACAAAGAGTAGTCAGGCAGGCCGGGTCAGTAGCAAACGGAGTACCAGGAACAGGCAGGAGAGTGGTCGGGGTCACAAGCTGGGTTCAGTAACTCACGGGCAGTGTGGTGCAGAGGGTCAGGCAGAGAATGGTCAGGGTCACAAGCCAGGGATCAAACAGGAGAAGTCAGCAGAGGTCAGGATCAGGCAGGGTCGGCAACAAGTCAGGCAGGAACAGGAACAGAGGATACAAGATACAGGGGCCCATGGAAAAACACACACCAAGGCCCTGACTGTGAGTCTGGCCATTCCTTAAATACAACCCCTGAAATCAGCTTCAGGTGTTTGGCTGACTGCAGGGGTGAGTCTCTGATTGCTGAGAGCACCCGCTGGCCAGCCCTGGTACTGCAGCCCACAAGGCAGGTGAGTCCCACCATTATTGGCAAGTCCATTCCTGACATTGATAGAGTGAGAAATGCATTTCAACTTTTAATTATTTATAGTTTTAAAAACTATAAATCCTACAGCGAAGAGCTTTATATTGTGAGAATCACAACACTGAGACCTACATTTTGATGCATAGTATATCTCTGAAATATTAAAAATGAAGGCAGAGTCGCATTAGAAATTGTCCTTCAAATTTGAGGTGGCTAGAGTGGAGTTTCAATGAATATCAATGGGCTGTGTGAGTTGCAAACAAATGGTCATATTGTGAAAACTATCAGGACTATGGCTTAGCCATGGACGTTTTTAGTGGCAGCAGGGATAGCTGAACGTTTTGATATAAGATTTGTGTAGGTGGGCTTGCAAATGAGGGAGTGGTGGCAGTTTAGAAATCATGTTCTGATTTTTCAGCTCACACTCTAGCTTTTGTCAGCTCCCACTCTAGTTTTGAACATTCCGCCATTCATTCCTATTGGACCAATTTCACCACAAAAATGCCGATATTTTGTGAACCATTCGGCGAAATGTTCCACAAAGTAATAGCACACCAATCGGGAACAATCCACACATTTCGGTGTATTACTGTCTATGTAGTGTAAAAACTGTGGGAGGAGTTAGGGTGGTAAATTTGGCTATAATAATAAGAATATATATGTGAGATAACAGGCTACGTTCACACACTAGCACTGTGCAGGCGGCAGAGAGGCGTTTGGTAAGCGGTTTTAACGCTTCCCAAACGCCTCTGCCAATTCTGCACATTACAGCACATGGTGCTGTTCTAACGGGAGCGTTAGCGTTGCGTCACGGCAAAACGGACGCCTCTGGTCGAGTCAGGAGGCGTTAAAGCCTCCTATTCTAGTCTATGGTGCCGTTCCGCAAACGCCCGGCCGGTGTTTGCGGCTGCGGTTGCGGGGCGTTTGCGGAGCGGTAACACCATTTAAACTTTATTATAGGTGTTTGTGGGGCGTTTTTAACGCTTGGCAAACTCCGCTAAACCGCGCATGCAGCGTTTGCCAAGTGTTAAACACTCCCCAAACGCCGGACCAACGCTTGCCAAACGCTATAGGGGCGTTTGGCAAGCGTTGGTAAAACAGTCAAGTGTGAACGAGCCCTAAGTGGTCTTGCCATGCAAGAACACTTAATAATCAACCATTCTCTTAACCACTTGCCTACCAGGCACTTATACCCCCTTATTTACCAGGCCAATTTTCAGCTTTCAGCGCTGCCGCACTTTGATTGAAAATTGCGCGGTCATGCAACATTGTACCCATATGAAATTTTGATAATTTTTTTCTCACAAATGGAGCTTTCTTTTGGTGGTATTTAATCGCCACTGGGCGCTTTACTTTTTGCGCTATAAATAAAAAAGTGCAAAAAATTTGAAAAAAAAAAAAGTTTTTTTTGTTTCTATTATAAAATTTTTCAAACAGGCATTTTTTCTCCTTCACTGATGTGCGTTGATGAGGCAGCACTGATGGGCACTGATAGGCGGCACTGATGGGCACTGATAGGCGGCTGATGGGCAGCACTAAAGGGCACTGATAGGCAGCACTAATGAGGTGTCACGGATAGGCGGCACTAATATGCAGCACTGATAGGTGACACTGATGATGGGTACTGATAGACGGCACTGACTGGCATCACTGCTGGGCACTGACTGGCGGCACTGACTGGCACAATCCCTGGGCACTGACTGGCAGCACTGGTGGGTGGCACTGGTGGGTGGGCACAGGTGGATGGCACAGGCACAGGTGGGTGGCACTGGTGGGCACAGGTGGGTGGCACTGCTGGGCACATGTAGGTGGCACTGCAGAGTGGCACAGGTGGGTGCACTGCTGGGCACAGGTGGGTGCACTGCTGGGCACAGGTGGGCGGAGCTAGTGGGCGCACTGCTGGGCACAGGTGGGCGGAACTTGCGGGTGGCACTGCTGGGCACCGATCATCAGGGGATCATCTGCCCTCGGTGACAACTGCCTGCCGGTTCTCGGCAGTACTTTCCTCACGATCTGACAGCGTGAGGAAAGTGCAGCCGAGAACCGGCACTTGCATTTCCCTCTGATCAGCGTGTCATTGGACACCGCTGATCACGTGGTAAAAGGCTGCTGTGATTGGCCTTTTACCACATCACGTGATCAGCTGTGTCCGTAGGACACAGCGATCACGGAGAACGCCGGGTGCGCGCCCCCTGGGGCGCGCAGGAGAGCGCGTTCTGGGGGGACGTCATATGACGTCCACCCAGAACTGGACCGGCCGCAGTGAAGCCGTCATTCGGCTATCTGCGGTCGGCAGGTAGTTAAGCTGGCCATAGATGCATTGAAATTTGCCCATTTTATGTAGAAATTGGACACATTTCAGTCCACCTATGCCTGTTCCATATAGAGAAGAGTCGATTTAGCAATCAGCTGCTCTCAAACTGGAATGTTGAAAAATTTTCATGCAGTTATTGTATTCTGACAGGGGAGAAGTTCCTGCTGTCGGAATACAATACCACAACAGGGAGAATTTCTTCATCCACCTCGAATGTATGGATGGGGGGACTCTGTTGTGGCTTTCTTTGGGTTTTTTTAATCCATCTGTGGCTAGCTTTGGTTTGTTGTTTTGCTGGTCGTGTTAAATTGTTATATCTATATTAGATAAACCCTGAGGATGATGTAAATATGCAGATTATCATCCAGTTCTACAACAAATTCTTTGCAAATTGGCCTGTCTAAGGCTTTTTTAAGGGTTGTGAAAAGAAACGCTCTTGACTATTGATGTACTCATCATGGCATTTCTATTTTATTATAAAGCTACTTTTTTCCCCTTAGGGTAAAGTAATAGAACCCTTAAAAGATTTTCACAAGGATGAAGTTAGAGTCTTAGGAAGAGAGCTTGGGCTGCCCGAAGAATTGGTCAGTCGACATCCCTTCCCAGGTATGTGACTTTGTTCTGTGTATTTGTTGCATTCACTGCATAATTGTGACTGATATTTTATAGATGTGGTTTAGGATCTTCTTTAAACCACATCTTTAAAAGCTCTAAAAATGTTGCTTATGAGTTAATGATTTTTGATAGATAGATAGAGATATATAGATAGATAGATAGAGAGCTATATATATATATATATATATATATATATATATATATATATATATATATATATATATTATACACACATGTTTGGTGTGGAGTTATCTTAGTACAATATCTTTTAGATGTTAGGGGCAAGCCTGAGCATCTTGAGGAAAATATAGTGGGTGTAGAATTTGTAATCTACATGGTAAGAGAAATGTTCTAGGCACGCCATGCTGGATTTTTTTTTTTTTTTTTTTAATCTCACATTTTGTAATCCAAGAAGGGCATTTATATTGGATCACTAAAGACTGTTCTTTTATTCTAAAAGTGCATCTTTAATGGAGAAAAAAAAATTTATTTTCCCATTTTAAAACATTCTTTCTCTTTTGGTTTCTTTTCTGACAGGTCCAGGATTAGCAATTCGAGTAATATGTGCCGAAGAGCCTTATATCTGTAAAGATTTCCCCGAGACAAACAATATATTGAAAATAGTTGCAGATTATTCCGCAAGTGTTAAAAAGGTATATAATCATTTCTAATTGTGCTGGGCTGATTATTATTTCTAGAAATTATAAACAATTTTGTCTCTAGGGCTCGTTTATACAGATAGTCTATCTTATTTTGGAATTGGATAATTAACCACTTGACCTCCAGAGGATTTACCCCCCTTAATGACCAGGCCTCTTTTTGCTACTTGGCACTGTACTAATTCAACTGATAATTGCGCGGTCATGCAATGCTGCACCCAAACGAAATTTACGTCCTTTTTTTCACACAAATAGAACTTTCTTTCGGTGGTAGTTGATCACCTGTGCGCTTTTTATTTTTCACGCTATAAACCAAAAAAGGCCAAAAATTTTGAAGAAAAACTATGTTTTTTACTTTCAGCTATAAAAAATATATAGTAAACTCAAAGTTAGTTATAAATTTAGGCCAAAATGTATTCTGTTACATGTTTTTGGTAAAAAAAAATCCCAATAAGTGTATATTGATTGCTTTGTGTGAAAGTTATAGCATCTACAAACTATGGTATAGATACTGCAATTTTATGCCATTTTTTTGCTATACAGCGCTGCGCTAGTTTAACGGACAATTGCGCGGTCATGCAAAATGGTACGTAAATGGAACTTACATCCTTTTTTTTTCCCCACAAATTGAGCTTTCTTTCGGTGGTATTTGATCGCCTGTGCGGTTTTTTTTATTTTTTGCGCTATAAAAAAAAATGGCTGACAATTTTGAGGAAAAAAAAAACAATATTTTGGACTTTGCTATAAAACATGTCCAGTAAAAAAAGATTTAAAAATCAAATTTAGTCATAAATTTCTGCCAAAATTCATTCTGCGACATGTCTTTGCTAAAAAAAAAACCCAATACGTGTAAATTAATTGGTTTACATGAAAGTTATAGCGTTTACAAATGGTGGGAAAGCAACTGGGATTTTTATTTTTTTTATACTAATAATGGTGGCGATCAGTGACTTATGGCGGGACTGCGGCGGACAGTCTGACATTGGGGGGTACTGACTTGGGGTCACTGACATCCCCAGTGACACCAATACAGTGATCAGTGCAAAAAAAAAAAAAAAACACTTGACACTGTACTAATGGCACTGGGGAGGAAGGGGTTAAGTTTATTGTTCAGGGAAAAGGTTAACTGTGTGAGGGGAGTGTTTTACTAGGGGGCGGGGGTGTGTACTGCAGGGAACACCATTGATCGGGAGAGAGAGAAACTCTTCTGTCCCGATCAGCGTGTCCTGGAGCTGTCAGGGAACTGACAGAAAGCGCAGCTACTGCACCTGTGCTCTCTGTCAGCGATTGCTGCCAATCGCCAGGACATAGCCGGTAACGACCGGCTGTGACCCGGCGACTGACATCCGCGGCTGTTATCGCTGGGACAGGTTTTTAAAAACACACGTTTTTAAACTGTGGTTTTGCCCAGCCGTGCCGCCGTATTTCTACAGTGGCTGGGCGGCATGTGGTTAACAAAACAAATGGCACACCCTAAAGCTTCCCATACATTGGTCAGTTGGTTTGTCTTTTTTGTTTGTTTGTTTTTGTTTTTTTTTTAATTCAGCGAGCGGGTTGAATGAAAAAAAAAAAACCCTCCCCCGATACCCCCATCCAGACATTTTGAGGTGGATGGTGGGGGGTATACTCCCCACCAAGCTCTTGTATTCTGACAGTGGGGAGACTTCTTTGCCATCCGAATACACTGATCAGCACTGCAGGCTAAAATCTGACAGGGTGGTTGTACATTTGTAGATTTTCTTCTGGTCAGCTACAGTGCCCATACATGGATTGAAATTTGGCTGTATCTTCCTGAACCAGCCAAACTTTGATCCATGTATGGCCAGCTTAAGCTAAATATTTGCATAGGTTTAAAAGAGATATCAACGCTAAGGCTAGACATAGAGACTTCTTGAATGCCTCAAATTCATCAGATTAATTGAAATGGTAAGATAGTACTCCACATGAATAGGCATTTTAGTAAATGTATTGGTAATACACAGTGGATATAAAAAGTCTACACACTCTGTTAAAATGTCAGGTTTCTGTGATGTAAAAGATGAGACCAAGACAAATCATTACAGAACTTTTTCCACCTTTTTAATGTGACCTTTAAACTGTATAAGTCAGTTGAACAACAAACTGAAACCTTTTAGGTGGAGGGAAGTACAAATAAAAAACTAACATAATATGGTTGCATAAGTGTGCACACCCTTAAACTAATACTTTGTTGAAGCACCTTTTGATTTTATTCCAGCACTCAGTCTTTTTGGGTATGAGTCTATCAGCATGGAACATCTTAACTTTGCAATATTTGCCCACTCTTCCTTGCAAAAACACTCCAAATCTGTCAGATTGCGAGGGCATCTCCTGTGCACAGCCCTTTTCAGATCACCCCACAGATTTTCGATCAGATTCAGGTCTGTGCTCTGGCTGGGCCATTCCAAATCTTTAATCGTCTTCTGGTGAAGCCATTACTTTGTTGATTTGAACGTATGTTTTGGGTCGTTGTCATGCTGAAAGATGAAGTTACTCTTCAGCTTTCTAGCAGAATCCTGAATGTATTGTACCAATATTGACTGACTGGTATTTGGAACTGTTCATAATTCTCTCTACCTTGACTAAGGCCTCAGTTCCAGTTGAAGATAAACAGCCCCAAAGCATGATACTGCCACCACCATGTTTCACTGTGGGTATGGTGTTTTTTTGGTGATGTGCAGTGTTGTTTTTGCGCCAAACATATAATTGGAATTATGGCTAAAACGTTCCTTGGTTTCATCAGACCATAACACGTTTTCTCACATGCTTTTGGAAGACTTCAGATGTGTTTTTGCAAAATTTAGCCAGGCTTGGATGTTTTTCTTTGTAAGAAAAGGCTTCCGTCTTGCCATTCTATCCCATAGCCTAGACATATGAAGAATACGGGAGATTGTTGTCACACATACCACACAGCCAGTACTAGCCAGATATTCCTGCAGCTCCTTTAATGTTGCTGTAGACCTCTTGGCAGTCTTCCAGACCAGTTTTCTTCTCGTCTTTTCATCAATTTTGGAGGGACGTCCAGTTCTTAGATATACCATGGAACACAGTGAAGACAGTTGTCATCAAGTCGAGAAAATATGGTGCATTACTAATGCCTTGGAAATTCTTTTGTACCCTTCTCCTGACTGATACCTTTTAACAATGAGATCCCTCTGATGCTTTGGAAGCTCTCTGTGGACCATGGCTTTTGCTGTAGGATGCGACTAAGAAAATGTCAGGAAAGACCTACTATAACAGCTGAACTTTATTTGGGGTTAATCAGAGGCACTTTAAATGATGGCAGGTGTGTACTGACTCCTATTTAATATGATTTTGAATGTGATTGTTTAATTCTGAACACAGCTACATCCCCAGTTACAGTGAGGAACAGAAGTATTTGAACATCCTGCGATTTTGCAAGTTCTCCCACTTAGAAATCATGGAGGGGTCTGAAATTCACATTGTAGGTGCATTCCCACTCTGAGAGACAGAATTTAAAAAAAATCAGGAAATCACATTGTATGATTTTTTATGAATTTATTTGTCTTGCACTGCTGAACATAAGTATTTGAACACCTAAGAAACAGCAAGAATTCTGGCTCTCAAAGACCTGTTACTGTGCCTTTAAAAAGTCCACCTCTACTCCACTCATTAATCTAACTTAGTAGCACCTGTCTGAGCCCTTTAAAGACACCTGTCCACCCCACAGTCAGTCAGACACCAACTACTACCATGGGCAAGACTAAAGATCTGTCAAAAGACACCAAAGAAAAAATTGTGGACCTCCACAAGGCTGGAAAGGGCTACGGGGCAATTGCCAAGCAGCTTGGTGAGAATAGATCAACTGTTGGAGCAATTGTTAGAAAATGGAAGAGGCTAAAGATGACTGTCAGTCTCCCTCAGACTGGGGCTCCATGCAAGATCTCACCTCGTGGGGTATCACTGATGATAAGAAAGGTGAGGAATCAGCCCAGAACTACAAGGGAGGAGCTGGTCAATGACATGAAGAGAGCTGGGACCACAGTTTCGAAGGTCACTGTCGGCAGAACACTACACCGTCATGGTTTCAAATCATGCTTTGCACGGAAGGTTCCCCTGCTCAAGTCATCACATGTCCAGGCCTGTCTGAAGTTGGCCAATGACCATCCGGATGATCCAGAGGAGGCATGGGAGAAAGTCATGTGGTCAGATGAGACCAAAGTAGAACTTTTTGGTCTAAACTTCACTCGTCGTGTTTGGAGGAAAAAGGATGAGTTGCATCCCAAGAACACCATCCCTACTGTGAAGCATGGGGGGTGGTAACATCATGCTTTGGGGGTGCTTTTCTGCGAAGGGGACAGGACGACTGCACTGTATTAAGGAGAGGATGAATGGGGCCATTTATTGTGAGATTTTGAGCAACAATCTCCTTCCCTCAGTCAGAGCATTGAAGATGGGTCGTGGCTGGGTTTTCCAACATGACACGACCCGAAGCACACAGCCAGGATACCCAAGGAGTGGCTCCGTAAGAAGCATATTAAGGTTCTGGAGTGGCCTAGCCAGTCTCCAGACCTAAATCCAATAGAACATCTTTGGAGGGAGCTGAAACTCCGTGTTGCTCAGCTACAGCTCCGAAACCTGACAGATCTAGAGGAGATCTGTGTGGAGGAGTGGGCCAAAATCCCTGTTGCAGTGTGCAATTACAAACGTTTCCTGTAGTTCTTGACCAGGTTTGCACAAACAAAGGCTTCTCTACCAAAATATTAACACTGATTTTCTCAGGTGTTCAAATACTTACAGTTGCAAGAAAAAGTATGTGAACCCCTTGGGATTACGTGGAGTTTTGCATGAATTGGGCATAAAATGTGCTCTGAACGTCGTTCTAAGTCACAATAGAAGAACACAGTCTGCTGAACATAATACTACACAAACATTAGATGTTGCCATGGTTTAATTGCACATAACATGTAAACATTCACAGTGCAGGGAGGAAAAAGTATGTGAGGCCCTAGCTTAATGACTTCTCCCAGAGCTAATTGGAGCCAGGAGTGAGCCAACCTTGACTCCAATGAGTGTGATGATATTGGATGTGTTGCTGACAGCTGTCCTGCCCTTAAAAAACACACACCTGTTTTGGGTTTACTGGTTTCAAGAAGCACTGTCTGATGTGAACCATGCGTCGCAGAAAAGAGCTCTCAGAAGACCTACGATCAAGATTTTTTGATTTGCATGAAGCTGGAAAGGGTTACAAAAGTATCTCCAAAAGCCTTGATGTTCATGTGTCCACGGTAAGACAGACTGTCTACAAATGGAGAAAGTTTAGCACTGTTGCTACTCTCCCTAGGCATGGTCGTCCTGTAAAAATGACTGCAAGAGCACAGCGCAGAATGCTGCATGAGGTAAAGAAGAATCCCAGAGTGTCAGCTAAAGACCTACAGAAATCTCTGGCACATGCTAACATTTTTGTTGACACATCTACAATAAGGAAAACATTAAACAAGAATGGAGTACATGGGAGGACACCACGGAGGAAGCCATTGCTGTCCAAAAAGAATTTTGCAGCACGTTTGAAGTTTTTGCAAAAGAGCACCTGGATGTTCCACAGCACTACTGGCAAAATATACTGTGGACAGATGAAACCAAGATTGAGTTGTTTGGGAAGAACACACAACACTATGTATGGAGAAAAAAGGCACAGCACACCAACATCAAAACCTCATCCCCACTGTAAAACATGGCGGAGGGAGCATCATGGTTTGGGGCTGCTTTGCTGCCTCAGGGCCTGGACGGATTGTTGTCATTGATGGGAAAATGAATTCCAGAGTTTATCAAGACATTTTGCAGGAAAACGTACGACCATCTGTCCGCCAACTGAAGCTCCGCAGAGGATGGGTGATGCAACAGGACAATGACCCAAAGCATACAAATAATTCAACAAAACAATGGCTGCAACAGCACAGAATACGCCTTCTGGCGTGGCCCAGTTAGAGTCCTGACCTCAACCCGATTGAAATGCTGTGGCATGACCTTAAGAGAGCGATTCACACCAGACATCCCAAGAATATTGCTACACTGAAACAGTTTTGTGATGAGGAGTGGTCCAAAATTACTCCAGATCGTTGTGCAGGTCTGATCTGCAACTACAGGAAACGTTTGGTTGAGGTTATTGCTGCCAAAGGAGGGTCAACCAGTTATTAAGTCCAAAGGTTCACATACTTTTTCCTCCCTGCACTGTGAATTTTTACATGTTATGTGCAATTAAACCATGGCAACATCTAATGTTTGTGTATTATTATGTTCAGCAGACTGTGTTCTTCTATTGTTGTGACTTAGATGACGTTTAGAGCACATTTTATGCCCAATTAATGCAAAACTCCATGTAATCCCAAGGGGTTCACATACTTTTTCTTGCAACTGTATGTTCAGCAGTGCAAGACAAATAAATTCTTTAAAAATCATACAATGTGATTTCCTGATTTTTTTTTTTTTTTTAATTTTTATCTCTGAGTGGGAATGCACCTACAATGTGAATTTTCAGACCCTCCATGATTTCTAAGTGGGAGAACTTGCAAAATCGCAGAGTGTTCAAATACTTCTGTTCCTCACTGTATAAGAGTGTGTGCACACCTGTGCAACCACATTATTTTAGTTTTTTATGTTTACTCCCCCCTCTGAAAGATTTAAGTTTGTTTTTGAAATTGAGTGGTACTTATAGGTCACGTTGAAGTTGGAAAAAGTTCTGAAATGATTTATCTTTGTCCTTCTTCTTCCTTTTTTTTTTTTTTTTTTTTTTTACATCACAGAAACCTTACATTTTAACAGGGGCGTGTAGACTTTTTATATCCACTGTACCTAGATGAATATAGACCAGTGGTGGGCAACCTTTTTTTTTAACTGAGCCAAATCTCGCCAAAACCACGATTGAAATTTATTTTGAGAGCCACATTTTTAAAACTGAAAATACATAGGATGGTACACTGTTTTTAGTTTCAATAAGTTTTTATAGTAATTCATCCCCCCTATAGTAATTCATCCCCCCCCATCCCCCCTATAGTAATTCATCCCCCCTATAGTAATTCATCCCCCCTATAGTAATTCATCCCCCATATTAATTCATCCCTCATATAGTAGTAGTAAGTAAGTAGCAAGTAGTAAGCCAAGTCCCCCCTGTGTCAATTCACTTACCTTTGCTCCGCGCGTTCCTCTCGCCGTGTTCCCGCGCCGTTCCGGTCTTCAGGGCGGACTGTGAGAGGAGCCTAGCTCCTCTCACGGTCGTCACGCTGCCCCGCCTACACACATCCTGACAGCCAATCACTGGCTATCAGGATGCGAGTGGCAGCGAGACTGGCCAATCATTGCATTTGAGCGCGCTGCCCTGGCTGTTTTTTTTTTTTTTTTTTTTTGGATCACGCTGCAGAGTCCCTGCCGCCCGAGAGGGAGGGGAGGGGAGCGGGCGCCCGGCACACAAGAGCCGCATTAAAGCGTGTAAAGAGCCGCGGCTTGCCGACCACTGATATAGACCAATAGCGTGCCATTCCAGTGGAATGTATATTACCATTGATTGACAATAGAGCTCCATCTTGTTTTGCCCTCCTGGCATCAGTTCTCCACTCTCTTAAAAGGCAGACACTGTGGATTCTCTAACATACATTCCTTTTTTTATTTTTTATCTCTCAAGGAGAATGGAGGTTCCTCCTTATTTCTTACAGTCAGAGCAAATGCTAGCTGTTCCTTCTATGTTATTGTAAGGGTGCCACTCATTTCCATAGCAGTCAGGGAAACATTGGCTTTTGTTTTCGAATGCTTGCATACACTCAGCTTGAATTTTGGTTCATTGCTTTGGGCTAATCTCTGAATTTGTTACATTAAGGAAACATGTAGCATGTTTGTTTTATAGTAAATGTGAATTCAAAACAATATGTAATTTATGTTAAGTAGAATGATTTAAATATTTTATAAGAATTGCTTTTTTGCCTTTTAATTTAAAAAAAGATTGATACAACAATCTTTGACTGCCTTACACCCCCCTATGATTTTTGTACTTGAAAGTCCAATGTGCATGCGTTGAAATCCTTTTTTCCGTTATGGAGTGTGGACTTAAGCCTTAAATTTAAACTAATATTATGAATGTGTAAAGCTTTGTTTGAATTGTTCTTTACAGCCACACACCCTGCTGCAAAGAGTCAAAGCATGTACATCAGAAGAGGAACAGGAGAAACTGATGCACATCACTAGTCTACATTCACTGAATGCCTTCTTATTGCCTATTAAAACTGTAGGAGTGCAGGTGAGCATTCCTTCATTTTATGTCTAATATTCCTATGCCTTTGACTGAAAAAAATTAAAAAACAAAAAAAAGTTTTGGTTTTCCTTATTTTATCCCACCAGTCGATTGGTTTGAATGTTAAAGTGGAAGTAAACTCCACTGGACACTTGTACCTACAGGTTGGCTTATATTAAAGCTCACCTGTAGGTACAAGGAATATCTCCTAAACATGCACCTTTTTAGGAGATATTCCGTGTCCCTGCAGCTGATGTCACCAACGGTTGTGCCCTGAAGGAACGGCACGCCGTTCCTTCAGAGCTCTGTGCCTGCGATCTTGGAAGGAAGGTCAGGTGAAGATGGAAGCCCTGTCAGCTTGCTGCTGAAGGGCTTTGTTCTAAGAGAAGTCTTTCATAACGTGCTAGTATGTGATGCTTACTAGCACATTATGACATTTTGCAGGATTATATATATTTTTTTTTTTTTTTTTGTTTTGCTACTGCTTTAAGGCACTGGACAGGTTAAGCTATTCAGGTGCTGTGAATCCCAGGTTGCTGTATCATGATTATGCTTGTTTATACTTCCTGGTAGTTTAGAGATCTGGGACACCACTGCCTACATGTTCCTGTCCATTATTAATTTATTAGGAATGGCCTAAACTCCTGCATTGGAGGGGTTAGGTCAACTCTTGACACTACCAGACAGTATTAAAACTGACCTATTACCAGGGAGCTGAATAGCTAGGTGCCTGCATTGTACAGCTGCAGCCTGTTTTAACACCCTTATGGTATTTGACAGGTTTACTCTTAAAGCATAGCTCCGATTTCTCCTAATGTTCACTTTAAACTTTGAAGCGTATGGTCTGCCTTTATCAAGTGGGTAATATTTACAGACCTTTTAAACTGAGATATTAGCAGTAACTGAATATCTACAGCTGCAATTTTAACGATTGTGGGGGAGATTTACTATAACTGGTGTACTCAGAATTTGGTGCAGCTGTGCATAGTAGCCAATCAGCTTCTAACTTCAGCTAAGCTTTGACAATAAGACCTGTTTCACATATATGCGGCCGTGCAGACCACGTTTTGCGCGGGCATGAGAGCCCATTCATTTGAATGCACTCCCGTGCCCCGTGACACGCAGAGAAGACATCCCTGCACTTCTTCTGAAAACGCAGCCTGCACAGGAACCTCTGTCCCAGCACGATTGCGTTTTACAGTGCGGGCGGCGTGCCATTAGAACTAATGGCACCTGCCCGTGGGTTCGCATTTCTCTGTGCGGGTGGTGCGGCTGCATGGATTTTCTTGCGGATCTGCAGCGGCACCACCCACACAGATGTGAACCTAGCCTAAAACTTGGACGTTGATTGGTTTCCATGCAGAGCTGCACCAGATTCTGCAATTAAGTCAGTATTACAGCCAGGAAATTAGTCATTTCAGGAAGTCTGCAGTGCCTCCTATTATTATTTTTCGTGATTTGTTACTTTAAAAATTTGTCGAAATAAATTCTTCTAACCTTACCAAAATATTTTTGATCTGTTTTGTTTTTTGTAGGGCGACTGTCGCTCATACAGCTATGTATGTGGAATTTCAAGTAAGGATGCTCCACATTGGGAATCACTTATGTACTTAGCCAGGCTAATACCACGAATGTGCCACAATATCAACAGGTATATATCTTTGATTGTTGTTTAATATGTTTATTTTAAAAACGCTTTTGGACTGCGTTTCTGTGGTGTGAACTGGCCCTAAACCTTTCCCACAATAAATATTGGAGCTTCATTGCTGACCTTCTGAAAATGCTAGTTACCTTGGAGTTTTCCAGATTCATTGGCTTCGTTACTTACAGTATTTTGCCAGTGACCTGTATTAAAGGAAAGAATTCCTTATGTTCATACCTGTTCTGGGTTGGTGACTCAGAGTACCAGTTCACACCACATGCAGTCCAGTGCGTTTTTTTGGGGGGGGGTTTTCTGTATCAAAAACGCATTGATAGTAGGTTATCAGTTCCAGTGTATTCCAATTCCAGAAAAAAAGTAGAACATGCTGCATTTTATTTACGCACTTAATTGTACTAGTACACAGTAAAACGCACCGGAACACACATGTCCTTATTTAAGTTGAAGGAAAAGAGGGGAAAAAAATGCCCTGGAATGCATAAAACACGTACAGAAATTTATATGAACTGCATTTCTATGGTGTGAACCAGCCCATAGGTGTTTATTTACTAAAGCTGGTTCACGCAGAATCTCATGCACCTCTGCATGGAAACTATTCAGCTTACAAGTTTTATTTCCAAAGCTTAATTGAACAAGCTGAGGTTAAAAGCTGATTGGCTGCCATGCACCGTATTCTGAGTGAACCAGCTTTAGTAAATCTACCCCATAGTGACTATGGAGGAAGGTCCACATGAAAGCCAAGGAACTAACAGTTGAATAAATCAGGTGTGGCATTTTTTTCTCTTCTAAAAATGTTTCCTATAAATATAAACCTGACTTAGGACTTGTATTGATGGGCATATGCAATTTGGTTTTGATTAGTTTGAGACACTTCTGAGACCATTCAGAATTCATTACGGGTATGTTTGGCCTTCTGACCTACTTTTAGCGGCACAGTGGCTTAGTGGTTAGCAGGTTTGCCTTGCAGTAAATGGGTCATGGGTTCGATTCCCGACCATGGCACCTCCTGCATGGAGTTTGCATGTTCTCCCTGTGCTTGCGTGGGTTTCCTCCAGGTACTCCGGTTTCCTCCCACGCTCCAAAGACATGCTGGTAGGTTAATTGGATCGTGTCTAAATTGGCCCTAATATGTGTATGTATGAATGTAAGTTAGAGACCTTAGATTGCACAGGGTTAAGGACTGATGTGAATGTTCATTATATATGTGTAAAGCGCTGTGTAAATTGACAGCGCTATATATAAGTACCTGAAATAAATAAAAATAAATAAATATTGCATTCCTACAGACTTGTATTGGGAGAGAAGCAGTTCTGACATAAACCAAAAAAACAGTCAAAGTCCCTTTCTAGTCTGCCATTGTTGACTTGTTGAAAATGCTGTCTGAGTGATTGGTAGTAACCCAGAACAAGCATGCAGATCAGTAAGGTCAGATGCCCTTATTTGCATATTTTTTCTAGGCTGCTCTTTCAAAGTGTTGCCATGAGAGGTTCAGAATGACAGCCAGAAATCTTGCATTTTCAGAAGGATGAGTCAGCAATTGCAGCTTACATATTTTATTGTGACAAGTTTCCTTTACAATAACCCAAGTTGGGGGGATGCATCTTTCTGACGGGGCTATTAATGTGCAAGTCATACATTGATCACTTATAAAAAAGTGGCTATTGAATGCCGATTTGTTGTTTATTTTCTTTTAGAGTGGTATATGTTTTCGGTCCACCCGTGAAAGAACCCCCCACTGATGTTACCCCTACCTTTTTAACGACAGGAGTGCTTAGTACGTTACGGCAAGCTGATTTTGAGGCACATAATATTTTAAGAGAGTCTGGTAAGTTACTGACATTGTGTAATTGGCTTTTTCTAGTGTTATCCGCTTATCACTTTAATTTCTGTGCGTGGGTTCAGCAAACATGTTGTATAATTGCAGTGACTCATTTGTTATTTATTTAGAATCCCCTGATAATTAGGGCTCTGCATTCTGCTTAGGCACATCGGTTTAATACAGTGCAGCATATTGCTTTCTCAGTATGTGGAAATGCATATGGTGTAGGATGCTTAGACATATGAAGCCTTTAAAGCAACTACCCCGGTGAGATCTGCATTAATTCTGTGCTGCTATGTGCCATTTTACTCTTTAACTACTTGTCCTCCTGAGGATTTACCCCCCTTCCTGACCAGGCCATTTTTTGCGTTGCGGCGCTGCATTACTTTATCTGACAATAGCCTGGTCATGCAACGCTGCACCCAAATTAAATTTACGTCCTTTTTTTTCCCCCGCTAATTGAGCTTTTGTTCAGTGATATTTGATCACCTATGCGTTTTTTTTTTTTTTTTTTGCGCTATAAAAAAATAAAGACTCTCAAATTTTGAGAAAAAAAGCAATATTTTTGACTATTAACCACTTGAGCCCCAGTCACTGCATTAAAATGTTTGCAGGGCAGCACAGCTGCGCAAAAAACCACGTTTTAAAACGTGGTTTTGCAAAACAGGTAGAGGCACGCGCGCCCGCCCTACCTGTCCCGCGGGTGTCAGCAGCAGGTCTCAGCTGCCGGGTCATAGCCGGTCATTACGGGCCATTTCCCGCGCGATTAGCGACAATCGCTGACAGAGAGCAGGGCTGCATTGTTTACACACAGCCCTGCTCTGTCAGTTGCCTGTCAGCTCCTGACAAGCTGAACCGGAGAGAAGAGTTTATCTCTCCCGATCAGCCTGTCCCCGTCCAGCACACACCCCCGCCCCCTAGTAAAACACTCCCCTCACACAGTTAATCCTTTCAGTGAATAAAAATGTTAACCCCTTCCTCCCCAGTGCCATTAGTACAGTGTCAGTGGTTTTTTTTTTTTTCTTCACTGATCACTGTATTGGGGTCACTGGGGATGTCAGTGACCCCAAGTCAGTTCCCCCCCAGTGTCAAAATGTCCGCCGCAGTCCTGCCATAAGTTGCTGATCACCGCCATATGTCGCTGATCGCCACCATTATTAGTATAAAAAAAAATGTAAAATCCCAGTATCTTTCCCGCCATTTGTAAACGCTATAACTTTCATGTAAACCAATTAATTTACATGTATTGGGATTTTTTTTTTTAGCAAAGACATGTCGCAGAATGCATTTTGGATGAAATTTGTGACAAAATTAGATTTTTTTAATTTTTTTACTGGACATGTTTTTATAGCAAAAAGTCCAAAATATTGTTTTTATTTTTCTCAAAATTGTCAGCCTTTTTTTTTTTTTTTATAGCGCAAAAAATTAAAAACGCAGAGGCGATCAAATACCACCGAAAGAAAGCTCAATTTGTGGGAAAAAAAAGGATGTAAATTTAATTTGGGTGCAGTGTTGCATGACCGTGCAATTGTCAGTTAAAGTAACGCAGCAACGTAACACAAACCTCTTTTGTAACCGCTTCCTGACCACCCTACAGCAGAAATACTGCTACAGGGCGGCATGGGTACGCAAAATCACATATAAATAAATAAATAATATATATGTGTGTGTGTGTGAGATTCGCCCTCCCGTGGTTTTTCACACCCCTCCCAGATAGCTTCAGATTGCCCGTCAGTACACCAGTCTTCACATTTAACCCCTTGATTGCCAGGAACACGCTCATGTACAATAATCCTCCATTGCTAGTATAGCGTCTGAACTGGTCAATATCTTTGATCAGGTCAGCACTATACCAACGTTCACATTAATATAGCATCCCCAAAAACGCAGCGTTACGGGATCAGCCCCGGCACCTGCCAGCACCTGCGTTTAGCCCATACGCTTACCCCCCCTTTCTCCCCCAGCAAGTGCAGTGTCAGTAGGTCTCTGTCACTCGATACATTGCACACAAAACCGCAGTGTTCGCAGAATCAGGCCTGATCTCTGTTAGCACTTGCCGGTAAATTTTGATGACTCTCATATGCAGCAGAGTGCCAGTACTAGTGCCGCTCTACCTTTTGGTGAACTGGCGAGTACCAGCGGTCTAGTACATCCTGGTCTTTCACATATCTCCCTGATTTTTGGAGCTGTTTTTCATGGAATATCTGTATGTGTTGATTGTGGATCAAAGCAATTTATATGCACAACAATTTATCGCGCCAACCCAAATTTAAACCTTGCCAGACTATCCGCATGGAAACTCATTACGGTTTTCAAATTTACATTTTTTTTGGGCCTAACCCTCAACATGGGCATTACTAAAAGAAATGAATTGCGGTTGTATTGGTCCGCAGACCCGATTTCATCATATACCGTGTTCTCTGCTGCCATGGCCAGGCTTAGATATGAGAGTATAATGTGTTTTATGCATTTCAGCGACAATACACTCTGTCATCCTCGGGGTAACCCTGAATTTGACCGGCTCCACAAAATTCAGCCCCTTGCAAATCACCTTAACCTAAAATTTGCAGATGTCTATACTCCCCAGCAAAACATCTGCGTTGAGGAGTCCCTCATTAATTTTTCTGGCCGCCTTGCATTCAAACAATTTCCCCCCTGCAAGCGTGCCAGATATGGGGTCAAGATGTAAAAGACCTGTGAGAGGACAACAGGCTATACTTATAAGTTTTGGATTTACGGGGGAAAAGATAGTCACGTGGAGCCCCCCGGATGCCCAGACTACATGGGGAGCAGTGGCAAGATAGTTTGGGACTTGGTGTCATCATTTCTCCATATGGGGTACCACTTATACGTGGACAATTTTTATTCAAGCGTACCACTATTTAGACATTTATTCAATCTTGGAACTGGCACTTGTGGCAAAGTGTGACCTAATGTGTGCCCACCATTAGAAGTGGGTGGATGCAGGGCGGTATATTCTAATGGTGGGCATACCACACACTTTTTCTGGCAGAGATTTCTTCTCATTTTTTCATTCATTGCACAGGCTGCATACAAAAAAAAAAAAAAAAAAAAGAACATAGCATATATACCCAACAAGGATCAGCGATGTACTGGTACATCACTGGATTTGAATGATTGTACTAGGATGATGCCTACAGCTGCAGGCATCATCCTTGTATCGTTTTTTTTTATCCGGCGATCGGCTTTCATGTAAAAGCAATCCTAGTGGCTAATTAGCTGCAAGATTGCTTTTACAAGCAGCTGCCTTCCACGGCCTTCTCGGGCAATCCCGTGCCATCAGGGGAACCTGAGAATGCAGCCGGTGTTTCTGCCAGCTGACCATAGAGCTGATTGAAGACCAGAATGGTGCCAATCATCTCTATAGTCTAAGAATTTGGAAGCTACAAGCATTTCATCACTTCAGTTTCGCAGGATATAAACAGCGCCATTTGTAAATTGGGAAAGCATCTGATCACACCGCCGATTTTGGTTTGATTAGATAATGTAAGGGCAGAGGAGATATCTAGAGTCTGATAGACCCCAGATTTCTCAAAAAAGAATATATGACAATGCCCATTTTGGAAAGTAGTCACCCCAAATTATTTGCTGAGAGGAATGTTGAATCAATAAAGAATTTATTTTTTTACCACTAGTTTTTGGAAAATGACAAAAATAAATATATATTTTTTTTACACAAAATTGTCACTTAAATGATTTACTGCTCACACATGCCATGGGTATATGTGGAATTACTCCCCAAAAATATTTTGCTACTTTTCCCGAGTATGGGGGTACCGCATGTGAGAGACTTTTTGGCAGTCTAGCCAAGAACAGGACCCCAAAATCCAAGAAGCACCTTCAGGCTTCTGAAGGACTTTATTTCATCATTACACTTCCAGACTACCTATCACAGTTTCGGAGGCCCTGAAATGCCAGGATAGAACCTAACCCCCCCAAATTACCCCTTTTTGGAAAGTAGACCACCAAGGAATTTGATAAAAAGCACGGTAAGTATTTTGCAGATTTGTTGCCACAAGTTTTTGGAAAATGAAAAAAAACAAAAAATACATTTTTTCTATTTTTTTTATATTTCAAAACCTTATGAGAAAAAAATGAGATCTGCAAAATACTCACGATGCCTCTTTTTAAATTCCTTGGGGTGTCTACTTTCCAGAAAGGGGTCATTTGGGGGGGTTTGGGGCTATCCTGGCATGTCAGGGCCTTCGAAACTGTGATAGGTATTGAGGAAGTGTAATGAGGAAGTTACGCACCTTCAGGCTTTCAAAATGGTCATTGGATATCAGGCTCCTGTATGTGGCTAGGCTCCTAAAAAGTCTCACACATGTGGTATCCTCATACTCAGTAGAAGTAGCAGAATGTATTTTGGGGTGTAATTCCACATATACCCATGGCTTGTGCGAGAAATCATTTAAATGACGACTTCGTGTAAAAAAAAAAAAAAAAAAAAAAAAAAAAAAGGTTTTTGTCATTTTCCAGAAACTTGTGGAAAAAATAAATAAATCATCTATGGACTCAATATTCCTCTCAGCAGATAGCTTAGGTTGTCTAATTTCCGAAAAGGGGTCATTTGAGGGTGTTTGTACTATCCTGGTATTTTAGCACCTCAAGAAATGTGATGGGCAGTCAGAAAGTAAAAGCTATGTAAATTCCATTATCTATACCATAGTTTGTAGACACTATAACTTTCACAAAAAGCAATCAATATACACTTATTGGGATTTTTTTAACCAAAAACATGTAGCAGAATACATTTTGGCATAAATTTATGATGAAATTTTAGTTTTTTTAGATATTTTTTTTATGACCAAAATGAGATTTTTTTTAAAAAAATATTTTTTTTTTCTTCAAATATTTTCTGGTTATAGCGCCAAAAATAAAAAGTGCACAGGTGATCAAATACCACCAAAAGAATGCTCTATTTGTGTTTAAAAAAGGACATAAATTTCATTTATATACAGTATTGCATGATCGCACAATTGTCCGTTAAACTAGTGCAGCGCTGTATAGCAAAAAAAATGTCGTAAATTGCAGTATCTATACCATAGTTTGTAGACACTATAACTTCCACACAAAGCAATCAATATACACTTATTGGGATTTTTTTTTTACCAACCAAAAACATGTAGCAGAATACATTTTGGCCTAAATTTATAACTAACTTTGAGTTTACTATATATTTTTTATAGCTGAAAGTAGTAAATATAGTTTTTCTTCAAAATATTTGGTCTTTTTTTGTTTATAGCGTGAAAAATAAAAAGCGCACAGGTGATCAAATACCACAGAAAGAAAGCTCTATTTGTGTGAAAAAAAAGACGTAAATTTCGTTTAGGTGCAGCGTTGCATGACCGCACAATTAGTTGAATTAGTGCAGCGCCGAGTAGCAAAAAGAGGCCTGGTCATTAAGGGGGGTAAATCCTCAGGAGCTCAAGTGGTTAAACATGTTCAGTTAAAAAATCAAATTTAGTCATAAATTTAGGCCAAAATGTATTCTGTTGCGTCTTTGCTAAAAAAAAAAAAAAAAAAAAAAAAAAATATCCCAATATATGTAAATTATTTGGTTTACGGGAAAGTTATAGCGTTTACAAATGGCGGTATACATACTAGAATTTTTATTAATTTTTACTAGTAATGGCGGCGATCAGTGACTTATAGCAGGACTGCGACAGGCATTCTAACATTGGGGGGAACTGACTTGGTGTCACTGACATCCCCAGTGACACCAATACAGAGTGATCAGTGCCTAAAAAGAGAAACAAAAAACACTGACACTGTACTAATGGCACTGGGCAGGGAAGGGGTCAACATGAGGGGCGATCAAAGGGTTAACTGTGCTGCGTGTGTTTTACTATGGGACTGTGCATTTGTGCTTCACTGTAATCACACAGCTTTGCAAAGCAATGTGCCTGAGCTGACCGGGAGGAGAACTGTTTTGTCGGAGTTGCTTGCGGGTAGGGTGCGCCCCTACCCGGAAATGCAGAATCACATATATAGATATACTGTATATATAGAGAGAGAGAGAGAGATATATTAAATCAACCAACTAGATACATTTCTTAACAGATCTTAGCATATTAAAATTTAATGTGCTGCATATGTGCCTTCATCATTGCAGTTTTGCTTCCTACTGAGAATGCCCATATGGTTTTGTAGTCACAAAATAAGAAAAAGCAAGATTCTGACTTCCTTTCTTTACACTTTTTTTTTGCACATAATCATTTTTCTGTTTTATATGCAGCATTCAATACACATTTATTTTGCAAATACATGTAGATCTTTTGTGCTGCTTGCTGGCAACTGGGGTTTTCTGATTGTTTTTTTTTTTTTTTCCTACACAGGTTATGCTGGCAAAATAAGTCAGATGCCGATCATTTTGACACCATTGCACTTTGATCGTGATCCTTTACAAAAACAGCCATCATGTCAGAGATCTGTTGTCATCCGGACATTTATCACAAGTGATTTTATGACGGGCATTGCTGCTACACCAGGCAATGAAATCCCGGAAGAGGTAATTCTTTTTATTCCACTTCTATGTCTTATTTTAACAAAACTCATTCTATAAAGAAGCTATTTTCCTGTATCGAAGCACTGCAGATCAGTCAGTGAAAGGAAGGGAGAGCAAGTACTACTTGGTGGGATCCCTTTATTTAATTATTGCATTTAGCTTAACTTTGACATTTTATGTAGGGTAACATACTACTGCTGTTAACACAAAATATTCCTGCTGATATTCACAATAATGGCTTGGGCTCTTAAAAATTTGCTTAGAACACCATTGGAACCTCTTTCAGGTTCTTTTAAAATATCAAGCTTATGTCCCTGGCGGGTTAAATTAAACAAGACCTCAGAAATTGCAGATGCTTTCCAGGTGTATTATATGGATCTGTATAACTTAAACACACCTTCTCATCCTTCCTCTGTCTCAGAGTAGAGGGTATAAATGCACATCTTTTGTCTGTGGCTTTCTCCACTTTAACTGTCTATGAGCAAGACGATTTAGCTAAACCCATACTTTAAGAGGAACTGGCGGTAGTGGAATACTCTATTCCCAGCGGCAAGGCTCCGGGTCCTGATGGCCTTTCGATGCCTTACAAATTCTTCTTTTCACAACATTTTGTCCCTATACCCCCTGATATGACCAGAGCTCAAATTTCAGTGATACCAAAACCAGATAAAGATCTGCTACAGTGTGCCAGCTATAGGATAATTTTCTTTAACTGCAATTTAAAATTATTCTCCAAAAATCTTAAAAAAAAAAAGCTCAGCCCGATCTTACAGCGAATAATAGCACTTGACCAAGTGGGTTTTATTACATCTTTGGAAGCTCGCGATAACAGTTTGTATGCTCAATATTATCTCCAGGCCTGGCAACAAATTAAGTCTTCATCATGCATAGGGTTCTACAGCAGATTGGTATCCTGACCCCTATGCGTTGATGAATTGGAAAACTACTCCAACTCTTCGGCCATGGTTCGTGTCAGTGAGGTTGACTCGTCCCCATTCAACATACGGAATGGAACCAGGCAGGGATGTCCCCTTTGTCCTTTAATTTGTGTCCTTATTTTGAAACCATTTTTACAACACATTAATAATAACGTAGACATTACCAGGGTGCAAACTCTGGAGTTGCTACCATAAAGTTGTCGCATACACAGATTTTAGAATCTTTGGAACTTTATCCAACTTTAAAATCAGTTTTCAAAAGTCATAGGCTTTGAATATATCCCTATCAGAATCCATGATTCACCCTAGCTTCCCTTTCTGTTGGACTACTCAATCCACTAAATACCTGGAAACACATATTCTGGCAGATCCCATGAAGATCTTCGTCTTGAACTTTCTCCCAGTCATGCAAACATTCCGCAGAGACCTGACTACATGGAATAATTTAGCGCTTACTTGGTTTGGAGAATGCAATGTTATGAAGATGAATCTGATGCCTCGTATTATCTTCTCCAGTGTCGATTCTTATCCCTAGAACCTTCTTTTGCAACCTACAACCGGATTTTACCAGATACATTTAGCACAACAGATTGCCTAGCTTTAGCAAAGACTCTTGAGGAGACCTAAACACGGGTGGGGTGGGGCTACCTGACCCACAAAACACACTACACAGCTACATGCATGGCCCAAGTTTTATAGGCTGGTTCAAACACAGAGCATTTAAGCTATGGGTATCTTTGGAAGAAGACTGCTCCCCAGTTCCCTGTTCAGGCCTCCCTTGGGCAGGCCTGGAGATCCCCAGCTCCCTACTGAAACATCTCACAATAGGCCCAACAATAAAAGAAATGCAGAAGTATTTTATTTTGTCCAGTTGCCAAAGTCTTCCATCACCTCTGACTCCCATACTGGGATACCTGGCTTTTATCCCTGGTGTGTCAGACAAACTCTTTCGAGTCTGGACAACTAATAGAGCTCGCGATTTCACTCAAGCCATTTGGTGTGACTTCTCTTTAACTTTCAGCAAACACCGAAGTCCCACCTCTGTCAGACCCTTGGTGTAAATTGCAGTTGTTGCACTTCTTGCATTCCTTAAGGCCCTGAAACATTTGACTCAGGAGCCTACTCTGTATGAGAAGAAACAAAAGAACAGCAGCACGGGATCTCCGTCAGCAATACATGTAGTTTTATTAAACAATTAAAAAAAATAGTACACTTGTGTAAAATTCTTGTCAAACAGCTCTGGTGCAGATCGCAAAGCAATTCCAAGTAGATAATTATTCAGAATCCCTCAGCTGGAAAAAGGAGGAGTGAGTTTGACAGCTGTCAAACTCCCATGTCACTGCCTCCCGGATCTCCATACAATGTAACTCTTAACAAACATTTCTGTTGCAGATATCTACATAGAAGCAATTCCAAGTGTTTGAAGTGGTTGATCATTTAAAACCCTCAGCCCATAGCAAAGGAGTGAGTTTGACATCTGTCAAACTCCACTAATGGCTAACACCACTGACATTGCCTGGTTGATCTCCAAATACTGTAGGAAGAGAGGAGGGGGAAGGCAAGTATCAGAAATTATCTTACAAGATAGTTACTCGATGGTACAGAGGATGCCTTTAGAGCTGACTAGACTATTGCCATGGCAGTGATCTTTGTTAGAGGTGTGGCTCCCACAAAGGAACACTGCTGCACCTATGCTTCAATCTTTATGGCGCCTAGTTCTGGACATCATTCATCAAATTATACCTTGGATGATAACCCAGCGGCAATACTTCTCCATCTAACCCCTGTGTCCTGCAAGAGATACAAAAGTCCATGCTGCTCCAGCTGCTAAATGCGGCTAAAGCATGTATCCCTATTTCCTGAAGAATCCATACCCACCATTTCTGAGCCATGGGTTTTTTGAAGGAATGATATTCAAGAGATGGAGACCCTTACAGCAGTTCTCAAAGACAAGATCTTTGACCAAAACAAAAAAATGGTAATATTGGAACAACTTTAAATTCCCCTCTAGATACCAACAATTAATTGGCTAAAATTGGTTTGAGACAGTGGGTTGAAGCCTTGGCTTCTGGCATTGTAACACATCAGGATTGGGCTGGAATGATAACCTGCGAAATGTTTCTGACATTGTTGTCCTTATGCTATTGTATTTTTTCCCCTCCTCCCCTTATTGCCGATTTTCCCTTAGGAATATAATTGAGAAGAAAAAAAAAAAAAAAAAAGGAGGTACACGGCTTTCTTCCCATTTGCCTTCATTCCGGAGTGTCCCCTCGGACACTGTTTGCTTGTCCTATCTCTGTATTTCAATACTGCAGAAATGTTGGGAAGCATCATACTATTATATATGACCTTCTGTATCACCCATGCAGTCACTTTCTTTTTATATGAACACCGATTGTCATCTAATTTTCTGGAGATGTTTGCACTTTGGTCTATATTATACACGATGGCTAGTGATCTAACATATATGAATTTAAATGTCTGTTATGATGCATGCATTTTAAAATGAAGAATTAAAAAAAAAAAAAAACCCTCAAGCTTAGTTTTGTTCTTTTTGTAGCTGCCCGCTAACATATTCTTACCTTTTGCAATACTTGGACAAATTGTTCCCTCATCTCCCCCTTTACATTGTCTTTCTGATTTGTGTAAGCATTCCCTGCTGATGTGTATGTTTGTGCCATCTGTTGGTAGATATTAAGTACTGCATTGTGGCTGTACTGTAGTCTACACCTGAACTCTGTCATCATTTGTTCTCTGCACTGACTGTGTGCATGAGAAAAGGTGTTTCAAACTAGTCAGAATGAGTTGCAAAAGCAATATTTCCTTCCATGCTAAAACGTACATTTTATAGCGTATCTAAAATTAAAATGTTACCTCAAATATTAATTTCCACTTTGTAGTTCAATTATTTCTAGCCTACTCCTTTTATTCTGAATGATCTTGAAGTTTGTAAACTTTGTGAAGGTCCTCTTCACTTCCTTTGAATTCTGTGATACATATTCACTGTGCCCCGTGAGTAGGCACGACTGTGTCACACATTTCACAGAGCCTGTTTTTCTTAACTACAGAGTTGCTGAGTGGAGTTGTTTTAGGTGGTGGGGGCAGCAAAGTACCACGGGATATATAGTGATTAGATATTGAAAGTAAACAGCAGAGGAAAAACTGAAAAAGCATGCAGGGAAACCAGGAAGATTGTGGAAAGAGATGGCCAGCAGACAGGAGGCACTCACAAGATGGAAGGAGATTTTTCAACCAAGCTCCTACTGGATTGTCAAAAAAAAAGTTTGTATTGTAATTACAATGCTGATGTTAAAAACTAAAAGTAGTGAGATATGGGACCCTGGTGGTTTGTGCAGAACATAGATATAGCAGACTTTCTGTGCATGGGAAACACTCATAGGATGGCACATGGCCTTATGCATTGCCGAAGATTATGCTTTGTTGCTAACATAAAATGTTGCACCCAAATGCCAAAAGGGGAATGTGAGCAGTATGACAGCTATGCTAAGTGAAAGTCCAAGAGGCAGGAAAATCTCCTTGGACAGTGGTGTGGCTCCGAAAGAGATGCCCCAGACTGTCTCAGGATTGGTCCTGAGTAGGAGTAGTAGACTTGGTGTCCTTCAGCTGCCCTTTTCCTGTTTGGCTGGGTATTAGACCATGTGTGAAATTGAATTACTTTTAATGCCTCATTCACAAGGGCATACCAGTCCATATACCTGTGTGAAGGGCATGCGTGGGATGCACAGGTGTTCCATGCAGACAACCTGTTCAAATCAATGACAGGCTACTGACTGCACAGATCTCCAAGCACATCCCCTAAAGCACATTCATGCAGGTCTGATGCGTGGTTCAGAATGCAGTTTTCTGATCCATGCATTGGACTCACACGTATTGCAAATTGTGATATTTATTTGCAGTATTCTCCCATGTTGGAGGACAACATACATGATTCACTCAAATCCATTTTAACCATAAGACCTTGTGTGCTTAAAATATGCATTGATTGTGGATTCAAGAACATGCTATTGATTTGGAATATTTTCACATATATTTTTTTTTTTTTTCTTGCTGCAGGTTGTATTGAAAATGGTGACAGAAATTAAGAAGATCCCAGGAATCTCTCGAGTAATGTACGATTTAACTTCTAAGCCACCAGGAACTACTGAGTGGGAGTAATAAAATGTGTGTTAATCTGGTGTAAAAGTACTGTGTGCAGCTTGACGTTTATCAGAAACCATTCCCAGTGTTGACATGCAGTACTGTTGTTCAGTTGACTGGAGCTGCTACTGTACGTGACATCTGATTCCGTTTGCAGAGCCTGCACCTAAAGTAAACTTATGTTGGGTCATACTTTATTGGGGCAGAGGACTTGTACGGGTAACAATAATGGCAGCAGTTGCCTGAGGGCAAACAACTCATCCTGCTTTGCCTTTTGTCTTACGGAATCCGCCTGTTTTCACGTGTTTCTGTTGTTGCATTTTTTTTCTTCTTTCCTAAATTTCTTTGTTCTTTTTTGTTTTCTTTTGTAAAATGTAAAAAAGCAGTTCATTTATATACATTTATCAAAACCATTGTAATAGCCCAACAATGTAAAATGAATAACTGATGTGACCAACAGCTTTTGAACAGATTTATTATAAATAAATATTTTGCCAAATGGAGTTGCATATGTGTGCCAGTTGTTGGGAATTCACGTTTTTACACTTAACATTTCATAATTTTTGTAGGTTAGGATCACTTATTAAAATGATCCTGTCGGGTTACAAAAAAAAAAAAAAAATTAAGATGACGGTGTCATGCAAAAGAAGAGTCCTTATATTTGTCTCTCCAGCAGCCCATGTCTTTTACTTTCCCTCTTCCAGAGATGCAGCCGAAGTTGGTCTCTTTGGCATTTGAGACTTCCGGTACCCCGCTGCCCACTTGGGTTCCATCCTCTTGAAAGGGTTGATAGGCTGGTATAGAGGTTTACGAGAACATAACTGTAGATCTTTTCCTGTTCATCGGGTACTGTTCAAATGTCCTAGGTATCTAAGGATCCTCCTGCTGACCCCTGAACATTGTTTCATTTACTACTGCATTGCTTACTACTTAACTGTGCGTCACTTACTATAGAGTTTAGGAATCAAAAGTGATGCAAAATTCAGAGGTCTGTAGTGACAGAGTGCAGTTGTAAGTGACCCTCTGTCTCACAGTACAAACAGCCTTTTTCTGTACTGCTTACCTCTATTTTTCCTTGTTCCTGACCTCTTTACAGTACTCGGGGTACTAAAGCGCCAGCTCTTCTTCCCCTTTTTCCTATTCCCTGGTCCAGTTGGCATGGCTAAATTACAGCTAATTATACCCTTCCTACTGGACCAGGGAATAGGAGAAAGAAGAGCTGGAGCTGCAGTACGGTGAAGACCTTGGAGAGAGGTAAGTTTTATCCTCTTTTAGGTGTCTCTGTGTTGCCTGCCTACCAGATTGAAATTCACTGACACAACACCCAAATTTGCATTTTTTTGGCATTTCCAAAAGTAAAAAAAAAATTACAGTTTTAAAGTGCAAATTTCAGTATTTAGGCTACAAACAAGTACAATATGCAATTAGCAATGCGATTTAAGGCAGATATTAAGGAAAAACATATTTCTTAATTAATCTTCAATATAGTAAGTAGCTCAGGGACAGGACTCAGGAGGGCAAGAAAATAGAATGGGCAGGCACATACACATGAAATTGACTTTCACAGTGACACTGACAGCAGTGTGCAACAGCATAGATGATGGCACCTCACTGACATGACATGTCCCCTCCTGAGTCACAGTGACAGTCTCTCTCCACACCAGGTGGTCCCTTCAGTCCACTCCAGTCAAAATAGCACTAATAGTCCCGCACCTGGCTTGCTTTGTTCCGATCCTGCAGACGCACACACGAGGCGCCGATGTTTCGCTCATCTCCCTTGCACCATGACATCACATGACACGTTAGCACTGCCTCCAACAGACCCGCCCATGCCGCTCGAACAACACACTAGCAGGCACTCAGATGGTCTTGGCCTGCTCTGGACCGGAACTGCTCATGGGCAGTTTCAAGACTGGCGACACACCCATATTTTTTAACTGGCAACCTTTTCCTGTCACTGGCTTTTACTGACAGGACAAAAGTGCACATTTTCTACTGGCTGCCAGTAAAAAAGTCTCAATTTAAAAAAAAAAAAGCACTGCTATTTAAGCTTGTGGTGTAGGGCAAGCTTGTGTGTGTAAACATAAATTGTGCAACCCGTGAGGTATCATCACAAATAGAGTGAGAGCATCAATTCTGGGGCCATAATTCATGGTTAATAATGTATGTAAGATCAAAGCGCGCAAATCCCCAATCAACTGAAGGCACAAAGTTGCAAGTATATAAGAGGATACCGTCTCTTAAAAGGCCAATTCAAATGAATACTGTGCATAATTCATGGTTACCACTAAACTGATAACCCGTTTTAAAGGAGTACAGCCAAGGCTTTATGGAGTCTATTGCTCACAGGAGTGCAGTGACCCATTTTCAGTAGACAGGCTTTAGCCCGCTGTTGGCTGTCACAGGGCCGGTCCAGGCTCTGAAAAGATCCCAAAAGTTTGGCTGGGATCCAGCGAGCTGCTGAGAGCCGGATGAAGGCTGAGAACTGAGCGATCAGCTATTTGTTTGCTGAGTTCTCAATTTTAGAAGCAGCAGGGAACTCTCCCAGGGTGCCCTGCATTCCATTTACAGATTCCTCTGCTTTTCTTGCTGTGGTAGATCCTCTGGCTTTCAGTCTGCTCATTAAGCCTGCAATATGTCCAGCGCTCAGTCTCTCTCTCCCCTCTCTGCACAGCCACTGCTCTCATTGTTGGTGGATGAAGACGGAGGGAGAAATAGTGGAGGAGGCAGAGCCAGCAGCAGCAGTATATTGCTAACAATCCGGTCCATGCTGCTGGGCAGTTCTTCATTTCGGGGCTACGTAAGATCCTTGAACTTTATGTACAGATAACATTAATAAATGCAGTATTTATCTGTTTTCTGCAGCTGAAATATGCAGATTCTAGGGTTGCCATTAAAAGAATAATAAATAACATCTGGCACTTTTGGGGGTGTTCTAAATCTTTACCCAGTGTTAAAGATTTTAATAAAGAATATTAATGTTGCATATTTACAAGAAAAATATTTAATAATGCTTATACAGATCAAAAAGAGGCTAACTTGAAGCTCTCTGTTCTGCTCCTCTAGTGCTCACTAGAGCACCAGGCTGTGGAGGGAGCAGGAGCAACTGTCTCCCACTGTCAGCAGCACTCTGAGAGGCTGACCCAGCTGCTGTTCAAACATCTGGATGGATCCCGACAGTAAAGTCGGGATCCTTGCAGAGCCTGGACTGGCAATGACATCAGCCGACAGCGGTCTTTAGCCAATGGTCGGCTAAATCTGGGTCACAGGAGTGCAGAACTGCGTGCACTTCCTGTGATCCAGAAGAGAAGTATGGCCAAAAAAGCTTTAGTCATACTTCTCCTTTAAACTGGAAATCTTCACATTATTATATTAACATTGAATCCCATCTAAATTATGCAGATTAAACTACTGTAAACATTAAAAAGAAAAGCATTTCTTTGAACTGTGAAAATATTGAGCTCGGTTGACATAGGCCGTACTTTCCTATAACCTCAAATTCATTAATCAGTCTTGTTTGGTTTTGAAAACAATCAGATGCCATATCCTCAGAGAGTACTAATGCACATGACACATATGAATGCTTGGGCAGCCTTCCCCAGATACTCAAACTCCCCTAGGATTTCGGCGTTGGGAGACTAAAGCAACAGATCAGATGGCTTATTTCTTCCGGACAGAAGAATTCTCACTAATAGGAGAAGAAAGCTCTGAATAAATTTGACAACATTAAACCCTGTGGATTACAACATTGAGAAGAAATTATTAACTAGCGGATGGTTTCTGAAGGAAAAAATAACACTTTATTAATTTACCCAATTGTATACTACATTTAATGTTCTTTTGTTTTATTTTAATGCAATGTTATTCCTTAGGTGCCATTCATGTGTTTTTTTATTTTTATGTGTATGTTTGTTTCTGATTTAATGTACAGGCCACCTATAGACGTCTGTGCAGATGCGGTATAGAGTTTGTGTAATTTTTTTTTTTTTTTGGAAAAGTTTCATGAGTACAGGAAAATAAACATACAATGTCCAGAAGGGTAGAAAATAATTAGACAAGTCCAGTGCTACAGAAATACACAGACATAGGGGTTGATTTACTAAAGGCAAATAGGCTGTACACTGCAAGTGCACTGAAAGTGCAATTGCTCTAGATCTGAGGGGACCATGCAAGGAAAATGAGAAAAACAGCATTTTTACTTGCACATGATTGGATGAAAGAAATCAGCAGAGCTTTGCCTCATTTCAGAGCTTCCCCTCGGATCTAAAGCAACTGCACTTGCACTGCACAGTATATTTACCTTTAGAAAATCAACCCCATACTATATAATGGTCAAGTAGAGATGTACTGTGATGGAATGGCTGTCACCCTGATTGGGTGCTCCGTCAGAGAACCGCTTCCTCGCCACTGGGACACAGGACCAAGGTATTATAGATGAGCACTGTACCCAAGACTAGACGAGACTAGCTTAGATGCCAAACTGGAACTCTTTGTTGAACAGAAAACACAGGTTTTTATACACTCTGGAAATAGGGCCCATCTCCTCATGAACAAATATTACACTTTGGGATAAACATCCCACACTGATTGGATAGCGAGGTGAAGCTGACATCAGTCTAATGCTATTATGTAAGCATCTCTAAAAGGACTTGCCAACAAGCAATAAACTCAATTAATGATGGGAATGCACACCTAAGAGGCACGCAATGGGAGATGATAGTAAACATATATCCTTAATAAACAGATTAGAGCAAGAGTCCTCAGCATGAGGTTGTTTTGCTGATTACATCAACATTTTCTTAGAGTCTCTTAGTCTAGGAAGGAGGGGGGTTGAAGCAGTCAATGCTAGTTTGGGCACAGAGACCCCAAATCGGTATTTTGGTCCTCCAGTTCTCAGAGTCTGTGTGTTTTGGGGAGACATGGACTTGAATGTGAAGTAAACTACTCCAAAGGTCCCCCCCCAGTCACAGTACAAAGAATAGAGCCCCTGCAGATGCCAGGGCCATTGTCAGTAGGCA